GAGGCTCGACTTGTGCATCTCGTACACATGGATTCATTACGCCTGGCGTCGAGTTGGTTACAAAGTTTGACTATGCAGGTAAGCACATAAGATGCCGGTGAATGAGCGTTCAGCTCGGTGTGGGAAGAAAGGCCAGCGCCAACGCGGCCCGTTCCTGATGAATGTCTCATCACCACAGCGTTGGAGAAGAAAAAAACAAGAAAAAAAGAAGAAAGTGCAGCTCAAACGCAAGACCTCGGGGAATTAAGAGGCGGCTTATTCTTTAATTTCAAACGCGCTAGTGGTGAGGCGAGCCCTTCGCCCTGCGGCTGAAAAGAACGTTGGGTTTGGGTTGTTTTATTGAGACTTTTACCTGTGCGAGTACGAGACTTTGATATTGTACGGCAGGGACTCTTTGGTGACTTGGGCTGGGGTTTGGTGGACGCGTTCGAAGTGAAAGGCTCGGAGGGCGCGGAGATGGGATGTGTGTGGTTGCTTATTCCTAGCGGACACTAGCTAGAGACATTCGGACGGAATATAGAAGAATGGGGAAGAAATGGCGTATATTTAAATGGTAACTGAGGATCGGGAGATGATGGTTGGCTTTTGTTATAGACGGCTGGGGATGTACGTTTGATACGTCTCGACACTGTAGCCAGACAAGATATTAGACGCCTATTAGGTGCCTCGGGCGTACTACGACGAAAAATTCATGCTGGCCGCGAAGTTCGATTCCTAAGCGGTATGAAGCTTAGACTTGAACAATTTCACCACGGCCTTGGGGCTACGTAGAGCTGGAAATTAATAAACTCGATAAGGTCATTGCATCCTGCTCTTTCGGGAACGGAGTGTAAGAGGTCTGGCATACGATTTAAATTTGATGTCCTCGAATAGAACCAGATTGAAAGCGTTGAATAGTCTAGCAACGCAACCCAGCAATCCTATAACCCTCAATACATGAGTATGAGCTTTCATGGCCACTTCTGAGAATTCAACACTGGCGAATAAGCATCCCCACGTGGTCGTGGATTCCATGTGAGACCATCTCAGTCTCGCCGTCAACAAGAACCCCAGCGCGAATGCTGTCCCAGTCTCGTGGGATCTACTTCAAACGAACAAGCTAGACTATCTTCGTTCGGGAGACGGATATATATCCCGAATATTGAAGTGAAAAACGACTTTATGGTTTGGCACCACGGATAGAAGGTCAGGAGACATGCGAGAGCGTGGTATGTCCAGGTCCGTGATCCTGAAGATTCTGCCTGGCGCAGATCTATATGTTCTTTTGGTAGATGTTTCGTTGGGCGCCCTTTCCTCATCCTAAGAAGTCAGTCAAGCTACGAGTACTAGGATGGGATGCTTCTGCCGGTCAGTCTTCATAAGAGATCGGTTATGTAGTTGTGTATACGCCCGTATCACGTTTTCCTAAAGACTACGGCAAAATCTGCCCGTCGCACAACGCCGAAGACTTGTACGAGAAAGGCATACCTTCTCCTCAACGATGCCAGAAAGAATGAGCCGAACTTTAACTAATTTGACATAGTCACGTGCATATGAAAGAGGCAGACGTTGAATAGCTTGAGGACTGTGATGATGCAGAGCATCAGTTGCTTGGGAAACGACTCCCTAGACTGTTGCTGTTGTAGTGGTTGTTCCGTTTTAGTTCCAAGTAAGCTGTCCTTCGTCAGCTGCCCGTCCTCTTCCTTGACGAATACCTTACCTTCTATACGAAGAACCCGAACTCTGGCCAGGCGTCAAGTGCTTGAACGAGGTTTTTGATAAGACCGGACGGGGGCTATGGATGCTGCGCCCCGCCTTGTACAATTTCATGCAGGCACACACAATGACCCCGTCCTTTCCTGTAGCAACTTGGTATCACAACCAAGTTGATTCAGGACGGCACCAGGAAACTTTGGTTGTGCTTTTTCAAGTTTCTATCTTGAAAGCGCGCAATATATACCAAGATAACGCTATCAAATGGCACGTCTTGTTTCACGGCGCAGGATCTAAATCAGTCACCATTGAACAACCAGAGCTCGGGTTTCCTACTAACGTTCGCAACGCGGTCTTGAACATGAGGACTACGAGGCACGTTGAAGGGAGCTGCTGGTCTATGCCGCCGACAGTCCAGACACGCCTAGGCCTGCCTCTTTCTTTCATCACAGACTGGTCTCAGCTTTAATGCTTAGCATGGAGCCACCGTCCGACCAGTCAAATCAAAAAGGCCTTTCTACATCGATCACGTTAAACAGGAGTCTCTGCCTTGCCTCCGAATTCCATCCACTGGCAAGACGGGAGGACACCAGGGACTAAATTAAGCCGACGCCGGTACTGTAGTGTAGTTGACTCCCTCCTTCTGTTCTGTGTCTCTGCATCATAGAGACTGAGAATGTCAGGCTCACGCCTTTGAGGGCTATGTGTATTATCAGACCGGCGTATATAAATCAACAACCATAGGATCTGAAGCCGATTTCTCCACAACCACGGCAATGCGACAGAAATATTCGCCATTACCATGGAAGTAGCCGGGCTGACTCAATCGAAGCAGGGGCGTATCTACCGTCTCAACCTTCGGCGGGAAGACGACGACCAACTTCATCGCGGACGCGGCGGTACGCAGAGAGAATGCGCACAGGGAGGTCTCGGAAGTGCTCAACGGTGTAACCTGTGGCAGGACGAGACAAGAACATGGGCATGTCTTCGTGGCGAGCGTAGGCGATCAACTGCTCAAGCAGCCCCGCCCAAACCTGTCACCTATCTTTGCGGGCGTATACCTTGTTGAATAAGTCAAATCACGGAAGTCTCCTAAAGGGCGCGGTGATACTGAGGAGCAGGGTGCCGCATGTCCGTGATCGACCCCAGTATCGACCGAAGAAGAGATCTCTGATCGCGGCTACGAAACCATCGTGCTCGACACAAAACTGGATCAAAGACAGGATCGCCCACTCCGGACTGCTGGGGAATTTCTTCTTCCCGATCCAGGCCTGTATTGACTCTTTAAATACATATCATTGGATCGTTGACAGATCCCATGCTCAGACCTTGCTAAGGGACCAATTCTGACTGCTGAGAGAGAGGAGGTTTGACGATACCTCGCACACTGTGCCCCTTATGATGGGCAAAAACAAGTAACGGCGAGAGAATCCTGCAGCGCCACGAGAGAGAGTCTCCCCGGTATCAAATCTGAAGAAGCTGGACGCAGAGGTGGACCGCGTTCACACGAGCATACTACCGAACCTCTCGACATGTGATCTGTCAGTGGTCACGGATATGTAACTTTCAACAAAGGCCGAAGTACACTAGAAGGTGCATTTGATTGCGAGTCAATCTGGTACAACCCATGCATAATTTCTCACCAAATACAGAGATCCGTTTCGTTCGAAAAGGCATTGTGATGTTCCGACACTTATATCTTTTTATCGTCAACGAGGAAGCATACGGATAACGGCACGGGACGTAGCTGAAGCGTCAGTAATGATAGTTGTCGACGTAGAGTAAGATATTGTACATGTATACCAGAGATGCCGCAGCTGGTTAGCACTGGTAGAGAATTATCCCTGTGTATGTGTGGGGGGGTTGATATGCAAGAGGAGAACTGCCTAGATGCCTAGACCAGTGTTGAACTTCTCCCAAAGCCTTGGCTCTGACGGGGGTCTAGAAGGCTTCGCGAAACCTGCTTGACTCTGTCCAAGAGGTCAGCAGCTGTGTCTATTTAGTTGGCATATTCGGCTTGTAGTCGAAGTTTCAATCCCAACAAAGTCGTCAAGTCATATTTCTTCGCGAATGTCAAGTCAACCATGTCCACTGTTGAGCTTGTGTCTAACAGGATGTCCCAAACTCTCACGTCTTCGCATGCCGTCTACAAAACCAAAAAGGCGATGACACGCCATGCTTAGTTCCGTAAGTAAAGTCCTTGAGAAGATCTGTCCATTCAACATTTGAGCAGATTCACCCATTCAACACTTGAGAAGACCTGTCCATTCAACACGCCCGTCTCCATGATCAAGCTGACTTGGTGATGAGACTCTTTTGTTTCGAGAACTTAGCGTCGACTGACTACCTTGCCGTAAGCCACCTCCATTCTAGGGATTTCGGTACCTCTCTCTTATTCTAAAAGGAATATGAAAAGAGTGCTGTCAAGCGCGTACGAATAGCGAGAGGTTACCGATGAGCCTGACTGTCTCTCTATGGAATTCCTGTCACAGCTGCGATCTGACCATAGACTTTCTGTCGAACCTGCAAGAAGGCAAAGGCACGGCCGAAAGGGTCAGATGGGCGATATCACTCTCGCCTCTGGTCGTCACATGCGCTTGACCGGGTCCGAAAAAGCACACTTTTATACCAGCGGAGATTCATATTGATGATTCCATCCAATGCAGAGCACTCATCAGAAGGACCAAGACGCTACCGATTGGCTATATTGAGGTCGATACTGGGACAGAGCGGGCCTTTCTAGGGGGTTTACTCAATGGCCGCAACTTGCAGCTGGAAGCTGCTCAAGATCCTCCAGCTTAACGGTGATGACAAGAACATTGTTTTCAAACAGATTCGGGTAAAGTGTCTGGGACACCTTCCACTCGAGACCGCAAGGAGATTTATTAAGCAGAGTACAAGCCTACCTCCGATTCGCAAGAGAAGTCCAGTTTTGTCCGGATCTTCGGACCGAACAGGCCGAATACTTTCTCTATCTCATTCAGTCCAGAGGCAACGGGACTCTTGTAAAAAGTAGAAATGCCTACCGTATATATATTTAGGTCAAGGGAGAGAGAAGTGCAGAAAAGCAGAAGTTGAATGGGGTTCTCTATATATACCATACAAACCGCATAACCTTTCACAATGCCTATCTCGGGGTAGCACGACAAAACAGCCTTGCTACTATCGAGTAGCGGTTTCGTATCGTGTATCTCCTTGAGCCGAGACAGGTCGGAACTCAGCATCTCCATCATAGCTACATATACGAAAGTCGATCTTAGTGCCCCGAGTACGTCATCAACAATCTAACTCAACATCAACATCAAAATCACAAAGCCATATGATGATGATTGGAAAATAAACAGTGTTTTGAAATTCCACCCCATTCTACTCCGTAAGCAAACCATCGGGGTATTGTCTCGTCACAAACGAATTGTAACGCAAAGCATCCTAACTATCCCGAATTTCCATCTCGCAACAACCATGAAAACGGGGGGAAAAACAAAGAAGAAAAGGAAAAATTCTTTTTTGATCGGAAGCCTGGGGATAACCATATCTGTCGGCCTCTCTCCCTCCGGCAACCCCAAATCCCAAATTCCTGTCCAAACCTCCCGTCATTAACACGTCTCTCTGTACCTTGTTCATGTTGGGTCTGCCCTCGCGTCCTGCCCCTTCTTGAGGGGAATATCGTCGGCCAACGTATCATCCGTCCCGCTGCCATTTCTGGTCATCCACCACCATCAATCACCGCCAGAGATCATTCGACTTCTTCTCGTTATTCGCCGTGCTGGGCCTCGGCCACAGATCCTCGTCACTTCCCCTGCTGCCACCGGTGCTCTGGCTCGGGATGGCCATGAACATACCCGCGCCGTTGCCCACCATGACACTCTTCCTCGCCGCCGCCGTGTTCCAGCCTGATCCCGCAATATCGGCGCCAAGGCCGTATGAACTAATTGGCCGGTCGCCGTGAATGCTCATGCTTCCTCGATGGCGAGATCCGCCACCCAGTGCTGCCGTAGGCTGAAGCATCACGGAAGACCAGTCCAGAGCATCATCCGCCTTGCAGTAGATTGTGAGAGGGTGTGAGAGTGGGCCGGTACCGGCAAAGGGGTTCGTGGAACTGAATCGCTGCGAGGCGCGCACTTGAGAAGCCCCTGCGAAAGGTCGAGGGATCGCCATGCCGGCGCTGCTGGGCGGCGCGAGACCGCCGCGACCACCGCTGCCGGGACCCAGACCGGACATTGGCCGGTTGGCTCCGGGCGTGTGCGAAGATTTCGGACGAGCGTTGGCGCCATAGGAGGAAAACGCCGCGGCGGGGCGGGGCAGACCCTCGAGCTCGTCTTGGAAGAACTCATCCAGCACGTAGACTGACCGCAAGTTGGGCATGCCGTTGCCTCTGAGCGATGCGGCCAAATAAGTGTAGTAACTAGCTGTGACACTGGAGTAAGGGCCCGCGGACTTGGAAGCGGTGATTTCGAAACGCAGCGACTCGAGAGAGACCGACGCGAGCCTACGCGTCCGGGGGCCACTCTTGAAAGCGTCGCTTACTGAGGCCTCGATGGCTAGCGTCTGCAGATTTGTGCCCGCGGACAAGATATCGGCGAGAGTCGCCGGGTGAACGCCCGTCTTGAGGAGGGACAAGACGAGCAGGTGGTTGCGGGTATCGGCCCGGCTCAGGTAGTCCACCAAACCTTGGGCAGTGACGGCCGGAGTATTGCTGAGGACCAGCTCCTCGAGGGGCGGGAACGGAGGCAATTCTTCACTGCGGGCAAAGATATCGTCCGAGAAGGCTTGCGACTCCATCACCTTTAGCGCGCGGAGCTTCCGCAGGTTGGCCAGAGCATGCCGCAGCACGATGGGATCCATGTTGATCTTGATCAGCTCCAGGACCTCGAGATTCTGCCAGATACCGCCGTGCGCTAGCTTGGACAAGCTGTTCTCAGCGCCTGCGCGGTACGTCATCTTGCGGAGGTCTCGGCATCTAGCCTCGACCTCGAGCCTCAATGTGGCGTAGCCATGCTCATCGGCGAAGAGGCCCTCGGGTAGGTCCACGTAGACGATGTTGGGGAGAACGTGGATAATGCGGGCAAGGTCGGCTGTGGCGGCTTCGCGGAGCATATAGGGGACCTTGAAGTATCGGACTCTGGAGCCAAAGCGTGTTGGATCCTCGCGCAAGGTTCTGCAGAGCAGCTTCAGACGGGCGGTGGGGGTATCTTCGGGGTCGGCGTTGCGCTTGAAGAAGGTCTTGCGCTTGCGCTGCTCTGACAGGTAGATCTCGCGGGGGCAATAGTGGACGGCGTCGATTCGGATGCTGTGGTACCTAGAGCAAAAGATGGTCAGCACGGCTTTTGCTACAATGGGGAACAAAAGAAGAGAACATACAGCAGGGCGTTGGCCGCTTGGTTCCATTTCCAGCAGACGCGCGCGCAGTGGGCCAGGTCTCTCAGGTCGCATAGCATGCAAGCGTCAAAGATGGCGCTCGTCTCGCACGTCTCGTAGGTCTCATCTTGGGTGTGGGGGCACACGAATGAGAATATTCGCGGGAGGATTTCCTTTGGCAGGCTCTGGAAGAGGGCGGCGGATGCTCGCGTGGGGATGTGAGCGCCGGGCGGGGAGGCGACGTTGCGGAAGTTCTGCTGGACCTGGGAAGAGTACTTTGACAGCTGGGAGTCTGTGAATTCGTGGGACTTTGACTGCTGGTGACCCTTTTGCTGCTTCTTCTTGTCCTTATCCCTGCGAAAGAACCCCATCTTCTGTAGAGGCCGAACGGCGAGCTTCATGCCAGAAGAACAGAGTCGGGGGAGAGGGGGAGGAAGGGAAAAGGGCTTGTCCAAGGTGGTATCAGGGGAATAATATATTAAGGTCGACGGGTCCCGGCGTCGCATTGGCCGATGGGAAGCGGCTTCTGGGTGTGGGTTGGGGGCGGGAGCGTGAGGCTTTCTGCAGGTCCAACGCTACGGCGAGCCAAAGTTTGAACGGTGCGAGTGGAGGATTAACTTAGTTAGAATGGCACACGATGGGCATAGGTAGGTGTGTTTGTCTGTTGGAGGTGGCCCGCCGCCCTTTGTCAATGTCGCGCTGTCTTGTTCGCTCTCTCGCGCCCAACGACGAGCCCGCAAGGTACGAGGGGTCCGGCTATGATTATCTTAATAGAAGTACCTTACGCAGTAGGCAGGAGCATTCGGCAAGGTGGGAGAAGGGCAGCCCTTTCTGCTTTTGGAGAAGTTGCCAACGGTTATGTCTAGGATGGCCTGCCGAGTCAAATCCTCCCAAAGGTCATCCAATGCATTGCGTCCCTTCTCTCGTTAAACTTCAGATGAAATTTCCGCAAACGTGACAGGTTGACAACGGCTGAACTTTTCTTTATTTTTATCCTTTGCCCTCCCCCCACTGAACACCGAGTATATGATAAGTGAGAGAGAGACACATCCAACGACCGTCCAACAAAGACGCATCCTCGTTGCGCAACAAAGAGATGCGCCCGCGGGAACCGGCGTCCAGGGCATGTCTTTAGTGGCTCCCTGATGCGTGCTAACGACTAAGAGTGCCCTCCTCGTGCGGCGTGCCTTCAGCGTCTTTTCTCCCCACCCACAGGCGCCCTACATGCGCTAGGGACCCCTGAGTCGACAAACCGCTGGTGTGGGGGAGGAGGACCGCGCCGTCTCTGATTGGCTATTGCTGCCGTCAGCTCAGGGGGTCCGCAATCCCCCCCTGATCTCTCTACTGCGTAGCAAACACCGAGCACGCATCGATTCACTGATCATCATCGCAACCCTTGGTGCCCAGCCGATCCTCACGTCTCGAAACGAAACAATTTGGCACCACCGGCACCTATGAAATATCGTACGGATCATACTCGATGCATTGCGCCTCCCGCCAGCCGCGGCTGCCACCCGGTTTTCATCTTTTCATGTCCAACCGATCCTGATGCACCAAACCAAGAAAAATGCCTGATAGACAACACATAATGTCCGAGAACCAATCTAATGCTCAAAATATGCTACTCTGCTCGTACATATCCATACTCGACCCCAATGCCAGCCCGTCGTTCTCTCAGTCTTATCCTTGTTGCCTTGCTCCCACCCGTTCCTCCTCATTTCCATTACATCCGTCCATATCCCTATATAAAATCGTGAATCGCGACTCGTCGTCCACCAAACACACATACTGCAAAGTCCGTGCAGGAACAACCAGTAGGCATTCGACAGCATTTTGTACATTTCCCATCCACTTTCGTTGCTCGTCCGTCAGGCGTGCTTCGTGACTTCTTGGCAATGCGTTTCATGCGTTAGTTGCCATTGCCGTTGAGCTGAACTCCATCGAGAGGGCTAGCCGGTCCCGACGGGCGCTTGGCGCGCAGAGTAAGCGGGAACGGGTATTCATCGGGGTCTTCCTCCTCACTGCGAATTCGTGTTAGCCATGTCGAATCACATCATCAGCAATCGTCAACTTACGGCAACTTCCAGGCGACGTAATCCTCCGTGTTCAAACCTTCCCTGCCTTCTTGCAAGCTGGCGAAGTCGCCAGGCGTCATCATGCCCGTGCGGTCGCGAGGAGATCCAGGGACCGAGAAGGGTCGCGAAATCTTCTGCTCGACGCCGGGGATGAAGTCTTCCTCCTCCTCTCCGTTGAAAGAGCCTGGGTAAGCCCGTCTCAGTGCCAGCTGGCGAGCCTTGACGTACTCCATGCCCATTCTCTTCCAGTCCAGCAAATCGCTCAGGCGCTCCGTACGGTTACGCTGGTTGATGCGTTGACGACGGCTCTTTTGGCAAAAGTCAAACATGTGGTTGGTGAGCTGGTTGACCGAGTCGTCAACGCCCTTGGTCCGGCGGTCCACAATGTAGATACCGTAGTCGCTCGAGTTCTCAATCAACTCCTCCATGTAGCACCCAAAGCCGGACAGGTTGGTCGTGATGCTAGGAACACCCATGACTGTGCATTCGGCCGGGGTGTATCCCCAAGGCTCGTAGTACGAAGCAAAGATACCCATGTGCGTGCCGCGCACGAACTCGTCGTAGTCCAGGGGCAGGACAGGGTTGGCCGAGTTCAAGAATTCGGGGTGGAAGACAATCTTGACACGGTCTGTGGGGTGGTTGAAGAGCTGGACACGTCTGATCTGGTTCAGTACGGGGTCCTCGCTGTCGTTGAGCATGTTGTGGGTAACGATGGGCGGCAGGCCGTGGCGCTTCATCGCGAACAGCCGCCTACGGATGAGTACACGATCTTGCGCGCTGATGAGCTCCTTGTCATCGGGCATCGGGTCACCGTCGTGCCACTTGAGGGAGCGCTCAAAGATGCGACGACCAATGCCCTTTTCAATGACATCGACAGTGTCGCGCAGCGACTTGATGACGGCCTGTCCCTTGAGTGCCTCGACGGTGAGCGACGTGGTCTGCGCTGGCATGATCACAAAGGCAACGACAGTGATCTTGCTGCCGGCGCTCTTGAGGCGGTGGTTCAGGCGGGCGAGGGACTCGATGAACATATCGACACCTTTGTTTCTGAACTCGTAACGGCCGGCGGTGAAGAAGTACAACGTGTTCTCGGGGTCGAAGTCGTAGTGGCCGTAGAAGTGGCCGCGGACGAAGTCGTGAATCTTTTCCTTGGCTTGTTGATGCAGGTTCTGGAACTCGTGCATGGCGGAGAACTTGGTAACATTGAGACCGTTGGGCAGCACACCGTCGGGTTTCCTCTTCAGCAAATGCTCGCTCTCGTATGCGGTGATGTGTGAGACAGTGGTGAAGACATCGCAGGAGTGGGCGGCGGCGCGCTCGATGCAGTATCTGTGGTAGATACCGCGCTTTCCGGCCTCGGCGTCAACATCAAACCATTGGAGGTTGTTGTAGAAGTCAACGGATCCGGCACAGAGGTATCTTCCCAGGAGGGTTGCGTGGGTAGTGAAGATTGTCGTCACGTCGATGCGGCGTCTCTTGGTGAGCGGCAGAGCGACACCGGCGAGCCACTCGTGGAAATGCGCAATGACGGCTCTTTTCTTCTCGTGGCACACAAACTGCAGAAAGCATGGTGGTCAGCTTTGCCCCGGGTGAAAAAGTGCATTGTCCTTACCTCTCCCAAGAACCAGGCGACGACGTATCCAAAAACAACAGCTTCGTTTGTCTCGTCATCGCTGGGCGGCGAAGGGATGCTAGCCACGTTCCACAGGTCGGCCTTCCACTCATCCATGAAGTGGTAAGCAGTCTTTGTGTCGAAGAGCAGGACTCGGGGAGCGCCATCGATGAGCCAGCGGCCGTAGAGGATGCCAATTCCACGGTCTCTCATGGACTGAATCGTAGCAGCAAGCTCGGGGTTCGTGGGCTCCAACTCTTCCACCTCGACTGCGGCCTGTTGTTTGGTAAGCAGACTGTAGACGATGCAACTCGCGGTTCCAGACTTACCGAGTTGTGGTTCAAGGGCCCGATGAGAGTATAGCGATCGCCATACTCGGCCGTGGTCACGGGAGCTTTGGACTTGAGGACCGAGTAGATACCACCGACTGCATAGGATGGGTCAGCCCACTGCGGAGACTACGGTCCAGGGGGGGTTTGAATCGTGGGGACTGTACCTCGATGGGCAACCTCGGTTGCGATTTCGAATAGCAGATGGTTCTTCACATCGCGGGCAGGGCGGTCGTTGTTGTCCCGCTGACCTTGGGGGAAGTCGGACATGGTGACTGAAAGGCAATCTGGAAGTGCTGAGCCGGGGGAAGAGTCAGTTAGTGGGAGAGACGGACAGCTTCGAAATGAGGGTTGGGCGTGGGGACGAAGGTAGAAAAGGAGTCTGGGAAGTTTGCATCGTGGCCCCAGACTCAATGGGAGCTTGGATGACGCAAATATGTAGAAAGCACTCACCCGTAACCAAGGCGACGCGGTGGAAATGTGAAGACGTCGGAGCTTGGAGAAGCTCCCGAGATGGCTTGGGTCGGAAGACAAGGCTTTGATTTCAAGACAATGGGAGGTGTGGAAGGTTTTGGGAAAGCTGGACAGGAACGGCGGCGGCAGATAAAGAAAAAGTTCAAGAGCTCTTTTGACGAGGAGGAGGAGAGAAGTTGTCTGCGGGGAAGAAAGGTTTTAGCTACGAAGGTCCTTGGGCCTTGGGAAAAGAAGCGAGCGAGAGCGCGCGGGCAAGGCCTGGTCTGATGTGTGGTGGTGTGGTTGCGTGGTTGGACAATGCAGCAGCAGGTCCCCCCCATCCAGTGACCAGCCCAGCTTTTTCCTGTTCGCGCTAACGACAGCTGAGGCGATACCTTGATAATGTGTTGACAGCCCGCCAACCCCAATGTATCAATCTTTTTTTGTGGAAGCTACCTTAAGGTACCTTAGCTGATTTTGACCATGCCTAATGGATACGAACTGGCGTCGACATGTAGAGACTTTTCTGGCCAGAAGCAAAACAGTAGCAGAAGTGGAAAGGCCAAGGGACAGAGGGCAGCATGGCAAGGTACTTCCCTCCACGCCTCCCTCTTGGGCTCCCACCATGGGGATGGGACTGGTTTGTCAACTGGAAACTGGAGAGTGCGGGTGAGGAGAGGTGCGATGGGCGCGCTCAGCGTGGAGGAAGCACTGCTAGAGTGGGACAACAATAGCGGATATTACAGGGCCCCTGGACCTGTCCGAAGCTACCACTAGCGGGAATCCACTCTGCAGTTTTGGGCGGGTTTGGTCGCGGAATACCAGGCCGGTACAAGTCCAGACCGCGACCTCGCTCAACAAATTCTTTTCCCATATTGCGCCGGGTGTGCAACTGAGTGTATTTTTTTCGTCTTCTCCAACTGTGATGTCCCCCTCTGAACGCTGTAATTCTCTCCAAGTCTTCCTACGGACTCGCCGTCGCTGACTTTCGCCTTGCCTTCCCGAATGCAACTCTTCCTGCATCCTAATGATTCCGATATTCAACGCGCATTATCCCGCTTTCTGTTATAGGATAGGCGCTCAACTCCTTGATTGCCCAGAGAAACCGAAGCGGAGGGACCCTGTTGCCTCCACCTTTGCCTCTTGTATCGGAATTGCCATCATGATCCAACATTGAAAAGAGCGCAGCTTGTGCTGGGCAGAAAGTGTCTGCAGATGTACCTCTGGCGTACTTGCATGGGGGTGGCTACGTCTGGAATGGCGGCCTGGGAGCGCCAGGCTTCACGCAATTTTGATAGAAGTGGGGACCTCTCGTGAGCTTTCTCCGGCCCAGCTTAGTCAGAATGACGACAAACTTTGCGGGGTTGACCATCCCCAGACTCTCCCCCATCTGCAACTTTTGGCAGCTCTTGTCCCAGTGACGAAAGATAGAGCGAAAAAAGGAACGCCCATCCCGGGGCCGGCCAATCAGTCCATCAACCTAAAGCTTGCAGACACACGCAAAGATCCTGCTTCGGTTTTGATGCCGACGATGGGAAATCGTTAGCCCAGATTTGCCAAATCTAGCAGAGCACTTACGCAGTAGAGAAAAAAAAAAAACCCCAAGTAGTGTCTCAATTCCTGGCGAAAAAAAGTTTTGACCTTGGAATATTTTGCCACATTTCTACTCCCATTTCTCCTATTGGCCTTCGAGACATCAACATTCAAGACACCGCGGGTAAATGACGGGCGACGCAGCCCAAAACTCCCATCTGGGCCACATCCATCTGGAAATGTATCCGGACACACACGCCAGGGCGATCCGTTACATCACTTGAAATGTTGGATCCTTTAACCTGCCAGACTCCGGTGGTTGACTAGGCGCCGGGTTTTCGCATTCCTGACTGCTGGTCAGCTCGACAGGTCATCCAAAACGTGATAGCTGGATGCCATAGACTGTCAAGGGTTTGGACTCGTCTTAACAAAGACAGGGACCTCAGAATATCTCACGGATGGTGGATCTCTCTCCACCTTCATGACTAGAGATCTTGATCCTTTAACTACGTTGTGGCAGAGGCTCTGCTCACCTCCCCAAGGATCAGATCCAGTTTCCCGCATTAGGACGTTCGGTCCGAATTCCCACACACTCCTCGTTGCTTTCCAGCTAGACGCAGTTCGCAGAACGCATCGTCAGATCCTAGTGCACGATCCCGTCTAACAGTTTTCCAACGGTCGTTCAGAGATCTATCCCATCCACTTTGACTCCACCAAGTATGCTAAATCTGTTGCGAATAAGATATCTCAAGATCAAAGGGAGGGACCACGACGTGTGCATCTCCGACAACTTGATAATCTTCCTGCCAAACTTCAAGAATGCAGAACGGGCAATCGAAAACGTAATAACTTTTGTCATACACGAATTAACAGAGCCAAAAAAATCTTTGATTACTCTTGCGACCCCCAATGTTGTTGGTATACTCTGTCTCACCGGTTCGGGACTTGGAAATCGTCCCGTATCTAGGGATGAAGTTGGCAAGTGTTGGTACGACAACGGACCCCGATACCGAAGCTTCAACAACCTTCGTCCCAAACTCGGGTCGAACCATGCTCGCCTTACCGTCTGGGCTGATCTAATGGTCGAGACTGTAACTCAAGAGGGCAGTGTAACTACCAGAGGCATAGTGTGGGATCCCCGACATTCCTTTCTGTTATTGACAACGCTGCCAACAAGTCCAACTGCCACAGTCACAGAGTCTTTTTGATGGCCCTAGCTCTCGGGGATCTCACCCGGGGCCACATTCCGTGGGCCCCGTTGAGCCGCAGGTGGGAAATGAGAGACGGTTTGGAATTCCGAGGTGAGCCTTGACGCCCGACTAGCACACGAGCTCCTTTTCCAAGCTGTTCTAGGCCAGATGGCGGTCGACAACCCTTGGCAGGTTCTAGAAATGAGGCATAGAAAGAGACGGCTATACGTGGTTCTTTCCTTGGACAAATGATCCCAATGTGAGAGAGATGGTAGCTTGATTTGACCATCCATACGAAACTTCTTCTGCCTTGCCCACTCCAAACATGGTGAAGCTCGCCCAAGAACCAATAAAAGGATGCATTCTTGGTAATATCTCCTGCCTACATGGGATGCCAGGAGATATATTGCTATGAGAGGACAGCTACGATTGAATTCTTCGACACTGATCGACTATTCTGGGCGGAATGTCGCGACGAAGAAAGATGAAAGGGATGCCATCGTTGACTGGCCACTATAAGGCTGCACATAACGAGGCAAGTAGCCGTGGCAGGTATGCACTAAGCGAGTAACACCCGCCGCCTAACCCGAACGCAGCCATCACGTGACTGCAAGCGCGCTGTCAAGGTTTTCCCGCTCGGCCCACGACAGACATTCCGTCAACCACATGCAACTTGAATCATCACGACTAACCAGCCCTAGCCAACCCGCAACGACGCACGAAGGTGCATGTTGGATTACAAAGGATTGCGCGCCATGTCCTGAACTCGCCGCGAAGGACATTTTGACAATGGAAGGACTCTGCACCTACGGGTGCCTGGGGATTACGGGCTGACGGAATGGCGGTGTCTGACGCTTGGTGCAGTCAATATTTGGTCACAGCTCTTGATCGTGGAGGATAAAGCAGAACCTGCCATCATTCAGTCGCGGCTACGGCTATGCCGCTGCTGTCATTTTGCCATTTGTGGGACCCTTGCTCCCTTACAGCGACGACGGAGAGGGAGCAACCCTCGCCCTACCCCAAGATGCGCCCGATGCGCCCGTCTGACGATATCGATGCTCACTGATCGTTACTACGCCATACCGTGGCCATCATGGCTGATTACGAATTCAAGGACAAGCAAAGGGGCTGATCAAGGAATGGACCCAACGGCGGAACTCATCTTTGCCTAGAGCAGGCCAATAGGTGTGGCATGGGTATTTCGGTCGTTTGGACGGATGGTTTCGCGAGGCACTGATGCCAAAGATATGCCCAGCCAAAGGGCTCATCATTGAAGCAAACACCGTCACCATGTCGAGAGGCAAGTCCAAGGCTTCTTGCCGAAGTTGTCAAACCGACTCCTCACATGCGACATGTGCGGGTCACGACTGTCCATGCCCCAACGCTGTCGAAGCCTTGATGCTCTTGTCCTCCATCGACATAAAGATTGTGGCATTGTGCTGCCACCGCAGATGCTGCACGCTGGTAGAGGTCGGCATCCAGCCCAGCGTCTGGCCCAGTTGCCCGCACGCTTCTGAATGTTGTGCTTCGCGACAGGTTCTGCGGGCCTGGGAGAGAAGAGGAGGAGGAACTGGCGGGTATTGGCGCGTAAATCGTACATAGTGACATTGTTGCATCGACCTCATGCCTTCTTGCACGGTAACAGGCAGAAGGAGGACAGATAGTTTGCTAGGGGTTTGTGGGATAACACCTCAAACAAAGCCTGGCTCGCGACTGGCAAGGATCAGGCTGGTGCTCAGGCTGGCTGGGTTCCGATTGAATCAGACGAGCCAAAACCACTTTGGGGAAAGAGGTAGATGGAACGCGGCTGTGGTTCTGCAAGTGCACCACTGTGGGGGACGTTGATCAGATCCACGGACTTTCTGAGCCAGCGATTTTTGGTGGTGGTTTTGGCATGCTGCATATGCCATTTGACAGCACGCGCCGATACGCCGACCGCCGACGCCGCAAAAACCCGCGGCCATCGAGCGGGATTGCTTGGTGCTTATGGAGGCTCTACACTACGAGCACAGCCTTGCATCTTCCACACTGCGTCGTTGCTCGTTCTGTTTTCTTTTCATCGTCGACTGATTGATGGTTTGGCGGCACCACATTGCTCTACCTCGACAACTGCATATCACGCTTACAAGACGGCGATATCACGTTATCGGGGAAACTTCGGCAGGCAACGTGCTCACACCTAAAAACTCAAATCGTATCGGCTGTAGCGATGGAGTCCTACCACCGCAACCGCCCTCGACATGTCGCCATGAGAGACGACCGCAGATCAGGCGATGAGCGCAGAGACCGAGGCAGAGCTGGTCGAGAAGTGACACGCTCCCGCAGATCTCCTTCGCCTCCACCACGTCGACCTCGAGAATCAGACAGATTGCCAGACAGCAAACCGCGCGACCCCCCTCCCGACAAGTCACAGCCTTCCGGCCGAAGCCACCATAGAACACGCGAACGTAGCAGAGAGCGACCTCGTCGAGCATCCCCGTCGCCTTCCCGTCGCGACAAGTACAGAGAAGACTCTCGTGATCGATCTCGTGGTAGGGGTACTGGGGAGTCGCGGCGCGAATCCCGAGCCAAGCACCCGCGAGATCGCAGTCAAGGAGCACAGCGAGGTGACGGCGCCGCGTCTCCGTCCTCGAAGCGACTGAGGAGTCGAAGCCCTGACAGGACTGCCACGGAGAGAAAGAAGCCTAGACGAGATAATAGCCCGCGTCGTGATCACCGCGAAGCAGCCCCCGGAGACGGTGGTCGAAGTGCACGAGGCTCGCCACGTCCCTCTCGACGGTCACCCAGTCCCGACCGCCGCGAATACCGGTCAAAACCCAAGGAAAGAAGTCGGCGAAGGCATCGAAGCAGGACTCGCTCACCTGAGAGAGAGAAACGAAGAGATCGTCGTGATCGTTCTGCGTCACGCCGCCGTGAGCAGTCTCCTGGTCGAAGGAGAGACCGATCTCCGCTGCCGCATCGCCAAAGGTCACCAGCCAGACCTCCCTCCACATCCACAAGGAGTGATCGTCGCCCGGCATCGCCGCGACGCAGCTCCAGAGATAGGCAGCGTAGAAGGCCGTCCCAGTCCCGTCCCTCCACTCGATCCCTTAGTAGGGGGTCAGGTAGACGAGGGCAACAGGGCGACGAATCCCGAATTACTTCCAAGTCTCAACCGTCCTCTGGTGCCAACAGCGTGGAGGTCAGCATGAGTGGCAGAGGCAATCATCGGGGGGGCTTTGTCTCTCAGGGGCCGCCTGCGTTCGCCCACGGCCAACAGTACAGCGACCCACGACAATTTTCTCAATCCCCGCAACCAACCCCCAATTCATACAACGGATCCCCAAACCAGTCGCCGTACGGTGCTGGCAGGGGAAACTGGGGTTCTCAATTTTCTCCAACGCAGTACGTCGTACAACATTCCATCAATTCACCCTCACACTCTTGCTCACTATCTTCTAGTCAATATCCCCCTCAGTATTCGCAGTCCAACTACGGTCCTCCCACCGGACCGTCGGGCGCTTATACACCCAATCCCTCCTACTCGCCACCGCCATCCGCCCCGACAGGACCTATGCACACGAACTATTCTCATCCCAATTATCGAGGCAACTTCCGTGGGGGACTTCGGACCCCACTCGGACCTGGTCGAGGCGGCTACAGAGGCAACAGCTTCAAGAGTGCTAGCTCTGCACAATGGACATCCAATGCCTCGGGGACCGGCTCTCGGGCCGATGACATCAAGTCCCAGCACTCTGCAACGCCTGCTCAGAGTAGCAAGTCCGATGTTGGCGACAATGCAGAGGACGGCGAGAACCCGTTCCGCCCATCTAAGGACATGCAGGTCGAGGATACCACACCGTCTGACAAGGCTCCCGAGAGCAATTCTCAGCGACCCGAAAAGGCTCCCCCTTCTGGGCCGGCTGCCCAGTCGGCCTCATCTTCGTCGTCGAAGTTCAGCTTTGCGTTTAAGGCATCTGCAAAGCCCACTCCGACGGCGCCCAAGCCTGAGATTTCTCAAAAGTTCAACGCTCCTGCAAAGCGGGACACCTCACAGCAGGATGACTCCAAGGACCGGGATCGCGAACGAGATCGTGAACGGGAGCGTGACCGAGACCGAGACCGAGGAAGAGACAGAGATCGCGAACGTGATCGTGACCGCGACCACGGCCGTGATCGAGAACGCGATAGGGCCCGCGAGAAGGACAAGCAGATTGACAAGGACATTCTTCGGAGTGCCCCGACCGAACCGGCGTCGGCGAGGGCCCGCCAGGAACCCAGGCAACCTCCTCCGGGGCCCCGCCATGCCACCGCTCCGAGGACACGCAAGATCAAGAAGACGATGAAGCGCCTGAAGCCAGGACCGAAACTCCCGGACGATCTTATCAAATCAGAGTCTGTCTATTTCCGCAAACCCGGCAACGAGTCCGTCGTCGGCTCCGGCACGTACGGCAAGGTTTTCAAGGCTTTGCACGTCTACACGAAAGGACTCGTTGCGCTTAAGCGTATCCGCATGGAGGGTGAGAGAGACGGATTCCCCGTTACGGCGGTCCGCGAGATCAAGCTTCTCCAGTCGCTGCGGCATACAAATATTGTCCAGCTCCAGGAGGTCATGGTGGAAAGAAACGATTGCTTCATGGTTTTCGAATACCTATCACACGACTTGACGGGCATTCTGAACCATCCATCCTTCACGCTTGACGCGGCCCAGAAGAAGCACATGACGATGCAACTCTTTGATGGACTCGACTATTTGCACAAGAGAGGCGTTCTTCACCGAGACATCAAAGCTGCCAACATTCTCGTCAGCAGTGACGGCGTTTTGAAGCTTGCAGATTTCGGTCTAGCCCGCTTCTACGCCAAAAGACACCAGCTGGACTACACCAACCGGGTCATCACCATTTGGTATCGCTCGCCAGAACTGCTCCTTGGTGAGACGCAGTACGGCCCCGCTTGCGATGTCTGGAGTGCCGCCTGCGTCATGGTGGAGATCTTTACCCGCCATGCCATCTTCCCAGGTGATGGAAGCGAGATCAACCAGTTGGATAAGATCTACGCTGTGATGGGAACCCCGAACAAGGCAGAGTGGCCAGGCCTGATCGATATGCCGTGGTTCGAACTGCTGCGTCCCGGGTACCGCCGGGCGAACACCTTCCCCCAAAAGTACCAGGACAGGCTGCCGGCATCCGCATACCGACTCCTGGCCGCCATGTTTGCATACGACCCCGCCAAGAGACCGTCGGCCGCCGAGGTACTCGCAGATGAGTACTTTACCACCGAGGACCCGCCTCCGCAACAGGCCGTGGAGTGAGTTTTTCTTATTTGAGTCGCTTATTGCAATGTAGTGCTAACTTATTTTCTAGGCTTGCTGATTTGGATGGCGACTGGCACGAGTTTGAGTCAAAGGCGCTCCGACGAGAGAACGAGCGGAAAGAAAAGGAAGCGCGGCGGGCGGCGTCATCGGCCAAGGACAGCGGCAACAACAGCAACGGCAGCAGCAACAACAAGCCCCGGGACCGTAAGAGGGAGCCCGAGGCTCACGACGACCGTGGCGACGCTAAGAGGGTCCACGTGGAGACGAAGCCGGCGGTTGCTGTCGAGCGTCCCAGGGCCTAGAAGACCCGGTGGCGCTGACGAGGTCTCCCACTATTTGGTACGGCCACCCACGACCAATTTTTCTTGTTTATCTTACTCTTCTGCATTGTTTTGCGTTGGCATGGCGTTGGGGGGGCATTTTCATTTGGAAGGGTTTCCACGCGTGGGGTTGGACGAAGGGTTGGGAGGTTTGGAGGGGGGAGGGGCCTTGCCTGCAAGCTTGGCTTCTTATCATCATCACGAGACGGCTTGGGTGAGTTGTCTTCGAAAATAGTTGTTCCGAGAATTGTGGTACACGTTTTTGGTCGACGTAGTGTAAGAAAGAAGAATATACCAGGAGACGATGATGATGACGGAACTTTGCCACTGCGGATACTTTGACGGTCATTGTGATGTTTCCGATCTGTATCCGTACTCTCGCCGACCTCGGTGCGAGTGAGGCAACGAGCACAGTGAACGTTCATCGTAAGAGATGCCATGCCAAGCGTCATTCCAATCACTGACAACACCACGTCCTGGTGCACACTTAGCTTCAAGCAGTACTTCAAATGGGTTGAACGCCTTTACATCTCAATTCTCAATCTGAAAAAATAGATTAAACACAGCCACCGTTCCCTCTTTGACCCAGTCCGTTCCCCAAAATATCATGTCCTCTCATTCTTGTGTGTGTGTGTATCGTAAAAGTCGTCAAATCATTCTTCGTGTTGTTGTGCGAAGTTGTACTGCTTACAGTTTTGATGAGCCGCAACCCCTATTCTGTCGGGGTCATCGTCTCCGGTCTGTGATTTTTTGTGTATAGCCTTCCGCTTTATATGTGGGTATCAGAATCAGGTCTCTTTTTTGGTCATTTCTCGCCGTCCCTTTTTTTGATACCGAGGCGATCAAGCCCAGTAGCACCTCGTCATGTCACTTCTTTTGTTCGAAAGTGCTCAGCATCGCGCTTGTCAGCATCGAACCGGGCCTCGCTGCCCATAATGTGCAATGCCATCCGATGCACCGAAGTCTCATGACTGACCCTCGACGCCCTTCCCCTTGTTCTTGAACTCCGCCGTTTTGAGCAATTCGCGTAAGCTGCCCTCAGCATGGCTTCGCGACACGCCGCCCTGAGCAGACGCTGAGCCGAGTCCCACGACAGGCGGCAATCTCCACGGCACCCATCCAGTCAGCCCGGCCAGAAGACCCGTCGGTGTCTTCGTCTGATCAGGCTGGGCTGATGTCTCGTGGTGCTGGGGCCCAGATGTATCGGCTCGATGACTTTCGTCCGATCCTTTGTGGACATGGCGATGCACCACGCTCTCGTCGACATCCGTCCGAACTTCAAGATGGCTTGTCGACGTTTTTGGCAAAGCCGGCTCGCTGACTAAAGCTGTTGCTGAGCTTCGGGGCGAGGCAGGCTTGTTGGTGGCCACGGACTGTCGTGTACTCTCTAACATGGCCGTGGCGAATGATGAGGACTTCCTCCTGACTAGTGGCGGCGGCTGGTCCTTCTGATTCTTGCTTGACTGTCCCTCGCCTTCGCTGACCGACGACGTGGGCGTCGTGCTGCCTGAAGACTTGCGTGCGGCCCTGCCTCGCACCTCGGCGGTGATCTCTGCGGCCGACTTCTTTTTCGACTTGTCCTCCTCGGAAGACCGACTGGAAGACATAATCGTCTCCAAGGTTCCCATTGCTATACTTCTCCTCCGGCCAGTACTCCGTCGCTTCTTATGCCTGCGCTCTTCATCCGATACAACGGCTTCCAGTGTTGGACCAGCATTCTGGCGCTGGCGCCTGGAAGACGATGCGCGGCTTGTGAAAGACGCGCCGGATCCGTGAGGTGCAACATGAACCTCGTACTGGTTACTCAATGAGTATCGCGATCGGGCACATATCTCGGCAATTCGATCGAGGTCGGCGTTGATGTTATTCTCTCCCTCCTCTGCCTCAATGTTGGCCATCATGCTCTTGAAGCTATAAGCCTCCACAGGCGGGAGCTTGGCTAGGGCATCCTGGCCCTCCAGGCGCTTCTTGGCCATTCCTCTAGCCATACTCAAGCCTCCATTCTGAGCAGACTTGGTCCCGCCGAATGTGGTGCGAAGAGCTATGATGCGCCGTACAGAAGCTGCGGAGCCGCTCACCACGGACGAGGCGGTTCGTGGGCCGAGACCACCTCCGCTTACACCGTTACTGCGACTGGTACTGGTGGGCCGGCTGTGAGACCCAGAGTATGTTCTTACAATGACGGGCTGAGAATATGTACTGCTCTGGGCACCGGTAGACTTGGCGTAGCGATGGCGGGAAGGGTAGTTGCTGTTCAGCTCGCGCAGGGCAGAAGTACGATGTGCGGCGGTGCTATCGTCGAGGGGAATCGGCTTTCCCTCAGCCGTCGAGGGAACAAGAGATGTCGAGGACGTGTTGGGCTGGAAGAGCGGGGGAAATGCAAATGATATAGAGTCTCGCGAGGTTCTCTTGGACGCGAGAGAGGAAGGGAATTGAGTAGCCGCGGGGGCACCTCCGGGACGAGCACCTGGGGGATGATGGCGGGATTGAGATGAACCGGAGTGGTCTTGAGGAGGGGTCTTCCCTGAACCCATCTTCACTGGAGGTCGCGGATTGCGCGACGGGCTAAATATATGTACAACGAGATAGCAGCATGAGCTGCCAGGGTAGTAGTTTTGAAGGGTAAGTCGGCGTTGCTATGTCGTGCGGCAGGATGGGGTTTGGGGTGGGAAAAAAAGTCAGATCAGCGGATGCGGAGGCATGGTTAGCTGGTATCGGACGTCGCGTGTGGGAGAGAGAGATATGTCGAGTGCTGTTCCTGACCGGGATGTGGTTCGCGGGCGAGGAGAGAATATGCAGGTAGGTTGTTTTAGCAAATGTGCGAATCGTTCGTTTTGGAACTGTGTCCTTCCAAATGGGCAATGGGCGGTCTCGGGAGGTGGAGATGGGTTAAGTTGAGACAGGCAGATACGGGCGATTGAGGTGTGTGAGTGTCTACTGTAGTATATTCGAGTAGCGTGACTGCGGCGTGGTGGAGCGAGTTCTGTGAGGAAGCAATCCGGATCGCCTCGAGATGCGCAGACAAGGTTGCAAACTGGATTCCCCGCAGCGATTGCAGATTTCTCTCGAGAAGAGGAGCAGAAAGGTGGAGGAGGAATGAGACAAAAGCGATGGAAGGGGAAATCAGAAAAAGGGGGGGAAGCAAGAAAAAGAGTATTCTGGCAAATGTTTAGGGTGAAGTTGCATCCGGTTGTAGCGTTGGGTTTTTTGGAGCGGGGGAAGAGGCAGGAGGCAGGAGGCAGGAGGCAGGAGAAAGAGAGGCTACTTGCAGTTTAGACTGTGACAATAGGCGCAAAAGAGGTATCCGGAGACACAATATGACAGACAGCCCAGCCAAAAAAGACAGCCCGGCTTTTGGTAGGCCGCTAGAGAAAAGCACTTGAGAGGCTATTACGGGCTAGAGCAACGCGGCACCAGCGAACGAAGCAGGTGCGTGCTGCACGAGTGTCGTGGCTGCCGTTCAAAGGGTGGTCCGACACTGACCCCCCTGTCGCTGCCATTGAGCTCCCGTCAGTGCCGTCCAATGACGGCGGGCTTTACCGTGCCAAACGGCAATACTGTGAGACGTTGGCACGGTCCTCTTCCCCGCCGGTCGTTCTTCCGTTCTCAATCCCCAGTGTCCCACCCTCCGGCACCTCAGCACAGCGACACGGCGACTGGCCCAAAAGTGCCAACTCTACGCCCGGGCCATAGTCAAAAATGACCAGTCACCACCACTACTGCCAGCGCCAGCTTTCCCCTCATTGGCACTCGCTGTCCAATCCTGGCGGCGTATCGATCGTTGAATCAGAATGCAGTTGTAAAAGACGCGACTTTTGAGCAATTCTCTGACGTTGAGTGGATGTAGAGAAGCGAATCTAAAGGAATATTCTCGACTTCCTTACGTGTGGCCAGACCATTGTCAACACCACTTTCACGCCACATGAAGTCGTTTTGCAGACGGATACTCACATTGCAAATTGGAAGTCCCATCACAATGATGCCCAGGTCGTGGACCCGATAGCGGCCCTCGAGTCTCGACCAGGCTTAATCAATAAGTTCCGCCCACATGGCACCATCTGCCTTGCCCTGTTGATTCGGCATCATTGATTCGAGCTTGGAAGCCAAGCGAGACGCATGCAACTACAGTGCCGCTCGTTCAACCGCATCCCTCAACATCTTCGAGCTGCGACTTTCCATAATCCGAAAATCATTTCACAATCACCGGTGGCAAGACTAGGTAGGATGCGCTGGCAATCGAGATCTGGCACCATCATCTGCATGCGCGCCAGGCACGCGCACGCCGTTGGTCAAGTTTCTGATGATATTATTATTCTTGTTTATCTTCATACATTCTGCGTACTGTCAAAGGACCATTGCCGCCTCGTTGTCGCCAGGTGAACGCCCTTCCCAAAGATGATGTTCATGTCGCTTGCCAGGACACCGGCAATACCTAGTCGTACCGTACTGCCATGCATGTGCCGCGCTACCATTCCGCAGCAGCTACAGTCACCGATAGCCTCCCTAGGTAACCACACAGTCTTGCGATTTAGTGAGTCGGCTGGGCAATCGTGCCGTAACCGTGGCCGCCGCTCTGCACGTTGTCGCTGTAGACACCCGGCGCGCGTCCAGTAATGATACGGCCCTCCCTCGCCTGCTCCTTGCGGTCGTAGTATACGTATTCGAGGTAAAATGCGTGGATGTGACCGGGGATGTAACCCAGGAGTGTCAGGCAGATGTTGACGAGGAGGTCTATGGAACTGGTCAGCGCTATCTCCAACTGGCCACCGCCTTGCAAGAGACGTGGACTTTGGACAACTTACCCATGCCACAGCCAGCGACTGCGTAGACACCGACGGGCGGCACTGTAGTATATGTTAGCATTGCTCCTAGCTTATCCGCACAACCAACGTTGCGTCGCCGCGACATACCCAGAATGGTGATGAGGATGAGAAAGACGGCGGAAATGGCACCCATTTTGTTTGTCTGATGTTTTCCTAGTGAAAGCGATAGTCTTCGAGGATGATGCTTGGTGCGTCGATGGGACTGGACGAATGTTCTGATTCAGTTGCGTGCACGTAAGGGTATCAAGAAGTATCAGTGTGCGTGAGGTTGTTGTTGATTTGGCAAAACAAGTCGACGTCAACCTCAGCCGAGGCGAGGAGAACCTTAAATGCCCCAGCCTGGGTCAGGCACAACCTGGCGTGCCTGGCAAGGCGGCGGCGCGGCGAACGGCCAAAAGTTGCCGTGCTCTCGCCTGCCTTGTCTTGCTTTGCGAGAGGTAACAGGTTGCGCGTCCGCCCTGACGCCTCCCCCTCGACCTACGTAACCTGAGCAGCCAATGTCAATGAGCGAAGCCCTTCGTGACGTGGAATGGGTGGCCAGTACATGACGTAACCGGCACGTGCCGTTTCACTGCCGGCCGCCCAGGCCTTTGGGTTCCTGGACCGACGTATCTTGCTTGATTACAGTCTGATCCATATTTGGCAGATTTGTCGGAAATTCGGCGAAGCAATGTTATTCTAGAATTTCAAGCCATCACAGAGAAGGGTACGGTGACAGCCATGGCCCGTAGAGCTGAGAATCATGGCGATCATTGGGACGCCCCAATGAGACGCAGTGTGCCTTGAACCAACAAGGCTTCCGGCTTGCTGCCGGCCACAGATGGTGCGTGCCTGAGACATGCATCTCTCCAACTCCCCAACCGGAACCAATCATGCAACAAACAGAGTGAACCCCCGGAACACCTCTAGGCGTACCTAAAGAAGGTGCCTCCAAACGAAGGATAATGGCCAAGACGGCTTTCAAAGCTGGTGTTGATGCATGTCATCCCACTGGAAGATCAACAAAACCGTACAATTCTCTGTAGCCTGTAGCCAGAGCTAAGCGGCCCTCTAAAGGCCTGATATTGCCCTCCGGCCCGTTGTTTCGTTGAGATGTCAAAGGCTATCATAGCCGTGACAGATAGACGCCGGTCTGTTTCAATGGCGACCGATGTTATGTCGAGCAGCAAAGTCTCGCATTCAGAAGCTCCACCTGATCTCCAGCCAGGGTCCAAGCTTCTCCCGAAGCATCCACGTGCTTCGTCTAGAACGTCGAAAGTTAGGTGAAGAAGAAGTTTTGGCAAAGAACCATAACGGAATTGGCTAACAAGCGCTGAGTTGCGGAGATTTTGTACCTGAGTTGTGGTATATAAAGACTAGCCACCCAGTGAATGCAAATATCGTTACGGCCCGAGCAGGGACCAGCATCGCGGTGTTGTTCCGCGACGTGCTCTTGAAACGGAGGCCGCGTAGCTGCTCGCTCGCCTCCAGATGACATAACCACGCGAAGCTTGCGGACGATATTGGATGAATTTTACACATTTTGAATTCCCATCGGAGATTCGAAATGCCGTCTAACAAATGAGACTCATCTCGGCTGAGGCGCATCGAGAATAGCATACGACCGAGTTGAAACTGCTTGGGACGTTGGGCGTGACTCTGATTTAGGCTGTCAGTTGGCATAGTCGAAAACACAGCCGCAACGCAACTTGGATCGACAAGGCAATACGAATGCCGATCAAGCCACCGACAGACCTGGCGATATTACCTCCATCTACCGGTAGGTGAAGCAAGGCAGAGTCCGAGGACACCGAGACCGACTCGATTGATTAATATGGCTCGACTCAAGAGACCTCACGCTGCCGTGCATGTAGGCGTACTGTATAGAGTAACAGAACCGGTGCCGAAGAGTTGCGGTCATAGCCGGGGGCCTGATTTCCTTCGACAGGCAAGGGCTGGCGCTAGCTCCAAGGGCCCATCCGTGGCAGATGGGGGCCGATGGTAATGGTGCGAACTAAGACACTTCTTCCGACCTTCTCGAAGCTTGAGCCCTGCGAAGTGTATTGAATAAGGGGGGTCTGAGCCGTTGGACCCGCGGATTGGTCCAAAACTAAGCCCCGTCCGCTAACCCAGACAGACTTGTTAAACTGCCTCAAGAAGCAAACTCATCAGCCGGTCACGGTAGGCAACGTACAGTGTTGTTTACGCCGCCATCGACCGCGGAGACGTGTGTGGATGCTCTCCTCTCCATCGGAATCGAGCCGTGATGTCGATGCTACTTGCAAGGCGTTGGGGAACGGCTACCCGAAGTAGCGACAGGGTAGGCCTAGACGATACATCATTGTGGGCTGATACCATGGGCGCCAGGTGACGCTTCGCGCGTGCCGGCAAGTGAGGTATGGCCGTGTGGAGCCATTTAACGTTCGCTTTGCTGCTACAACGGGGGCTAACTGCAAAGCTGTTGGATCCTTCAGAAGGAATTTTGTGTATGCCGGCTGGTAACATGCTAGGTCCATGGACGTCTATGCCTTCTTGAAAGTCCCAGAACCGTTGACCAAGCTCGCGAAAACCTAGCTGAATCTCTCCACGTGGTGGACAGGGAGGTGTCGCTCAGTGGGCAATCTGGGTGCGTGCTATCACAACTGTCTGTACTCAGAGACAGTTTCCCCCTAGGTGCTCCGACACGCACTCAAACGGGCAAGCTCCCTGAACTTGTCTTGAACAGACAGTTTGCGGCTCGCTGTTTGCCCTGGGACAGTAGTACTTGGCTGTGGAACGAGGCACCTCTTCAACGCTCATGTTGACTGACTGGTCCTCTCCAAAGCTCGATGCTCAACGGCCAGTTGGCGACTTGTCATGGTGGGCTGCTTGGGGAGTGGAAGTCGACAAAAGTCGACAATGTATAGTGTGTGAGCGCAGCTTTCAGGCAGAGTAACAAGGGTGGGGAGGCATCCGGAGACTGAAGTCGACAGGAACTTAGGGCACGGCAGCAAAGTACCCCGTTATCGAAGAGCAGATTGTGCATAGGGGCGAGCCAACACGCCTCTGTTCTCGTTCCCCGTAGTCATCAATGTGCCGCTTTATAGACTGTGCTTGTTAGGTATGGATCGCTCATGGCAATGATCCTCTGAATTGGTCGGTCAATCCATCAGCATGTGTTGATATGCTCAGAACCCAAAACAGGAATTCCTTCGTCGCGGAGTTAAGTGTGTGACAAAGCCGCATAGGCGCAACCCCGGAGAACAATAGAGGTCGATACACGACTGGGACGCAGTGTGCCGCTTGTAGTTGCAGTACCAACTACCTTGGTCCCCGACGAGGGCGATGCCGCGAGGGACGTGAGTGACGGGTTCGTGCTGGACGGAGAAGACGCGAAGGGGAGAAGAAGGGGCCCTGCTGATAGGGAAGATCCAAGCATCCGGCGACGGCGGCAAGGAGCCGGTATGCAAGAGAGCGTGGCTATGTCCAAGGGTTCCCTCCCGAGGGAACGTGGAAAAGGCGCCGTGGTCGAAGAGTGGACTTTTGAGCCCTGCCGTGCATAAAATGTGGTGGTTTCTGCAGCCTAGCAGCAGGTTATAGTCACCGCCGGCGGCCCCCCAGCGTCTACAACTTCTTGTCGAGCGCCAATGGACAGTTGACCATTGGATGATTCATGGACTTTGTTCAAAGGGGGTGAGAGTTGCAGCAGTGGTGGGAAGAGAGCCTACGAAAAGGTAAGCAAGCTGAAGCTGTCTCCGACGTCTTGTAGACCCATATCCCCGGGAATCGAAGCCAACCTCCCGTGGCCTGCGTGTGTGTTTTGTCCAACAAATATGAGGCGAGCGGTATGACGAGTGGGTTTTTGGATGCACATTCCGTTCTTTAGCACGGATGGAATTTCATTCGCGACCCCATTTTCCCACGTTGGGTCAAGCGATGGGACGCTGATGTGGCCCTTCCCTTGCCGTACTGCTGCTCTCTGAGGTACCTGAGGTACCTTACTCGGTAGAATCTGCTTGGGTTCCCTCCGCCGTGGTTCATTGCGCGCACATGGCAGCCCAGGCAGGAAGGCCAGATGCAACGAGCACGGCCGCAGTCTCCGGCACAGCACTGACGCCGCTCCCAAGTGCGACAGGGGAAAGGTACCTAAAGCAAAGGCTCCAGCAGATGTGCTTCGGCACCTCGGATCTGTTGGCGCTTGGGTTCCTACTAAGGGGACATTCCATTGAGTTAGGGGACTCGAGAAGTTGGGGCGGGTTATGCAGTTGACGAAGCTCGTGGGGTCCTAGACCGAGACTATTAGCTCGCAGAAAGCAAAGGCAAGGCAGGTTGATGAGACGAGACATCGCGGGGAACACGATCTACCTTAGCACGGATTGTCATGTGCAGCCGTCTGCTCGGAGGTACCTCATCTCTCTTTTTTCCTGTGAAAGTCATGATCGCGGGAGCCGTCCCTGCAGTGTACAGGCGCAGTTTTGAGAAAGCACATGGCTTTGGTCGCCGACGAGGAGCAGCACTAGGGCTGCCGGCCTTATGCAGTAGCCCTTATGGTTCTCTTCGTTCTCCAAGCTTGAGTATCGTTTGCTCAACTCGAGCCGAGACAACAAAGTCGAGGTTGACACTCGAGGAGGCCCATACACACGAACCATGGTGATGGAGGAGAAAACTGAGCGAGGGATCTCAGGGTGCCTGCCGGAGAGAATTCGTGGTTAGCTTGCATTCTCTCCACAAGCAACCGCAATGGCTGCGTATGATGTATGATTCGAGACTTTTCCAACGTTCATCTTCATGGCCATCTCATGATGGAAAGTGCTAAACACCTCGCATTGCTGTCGCAACCTAAGCTCAAGGCAAGGAAGGTAAGGTACCTTACCTCCACGTCGCCTTACCGTGTTACCAGGGGTGCCTCCACCCGTCGTATCAAAATTGCAAGCCCGGCAACTTGTGTATGTCATGTACCTGACTGAACCAAGCCTCCCCCCCGTTGCCGTACGGTACTGCTCTGGGTGTTGGGTGCTGTTGCTGCAGCTGCACATGGACCAATTGCGCCCACCAAACACGCCCTCGATTGTTGGACAGCATCTTGTTTTGTTCCTGCCGGTCGTCGTCTCTTGTTACTCGTTGATGTTGCCATGTACTTGTGTAGAAAGGCAACGCAAGACAGGTAAGAAAGACCAATTGTGGGAAGTACTGCCTAGGCTAAAGGCAAGGTCAGCGGTACCTGCCTCACTGTCTACTGTGTAGAAATAGGTATACCTGTGGATGCACAAGTCTCCGTAAGGTACGAATACTCACGTACCGTCGTAAACACCGGGCTTTTTGCAATCCTCTTTTTTTGGGAGTCGTTCCCCAGGAGCAAAAGAGACAGTGGAGGAGGTACTTTCGCTCGCACTGCACGCACCATGCAAAGCTAGGTACCCTACCTGACGGAGCATTTTCCCAAGTCCCACGCCAACACCAATTTTCTTCTCCTGCGTCTACGGTCGACTTCCCTCCTACCTTCCCATCACCTTTCCCTCTTTTCGGTTCCTTCCTCCTTGCCCCTACCGAAACCTCCCACCTCTCCTCCTCCTCCTCTCCTTCCCCGAGTTGCTGCGAGGACAAAAGGTATTTCGACACGAGGACCGGTCAATTTCCTCCTCGTCTCCTTTTCTGCCCTTGCCTGCTTGTTGCCGCAACTTCCGCTTCGGTCTTTTTTGCTGTGCACTTCACTTTGCTCGGCACCTCTCCTGAAGCTTGAACCGGGAATCACTCCCGTCCCCTCCCCCCGAGCATCCGTCTTTTGTTCGAGTCAACCACACACCTACAGCTACTCGCCTGCTGTGTGGGAAACAATTGTTTGGAGCATCGGCTTGCTTTCTCCCAGGCATCGCCTTAGCCATTATCCTTACCGTGCAGCCTTTCGTCATCGGCCACGTTGTCGCCTTCCTGCCAAAATGTCTGGTTCCCAAGCTGGTAACCAGCTCAACATCGATCGCTATGTCGTGATCCACGTCGCAACCACCTGCGATGAGCATGGAGTCTACGTCACCAAGGACTCGGCCGAGGTTATTGAGCTCGGCTGGATTCTTCTCGACGCCAAGTCTCTGGAGGAGGTGAGTTGGCATCATCCATCCCCAGCTTTTTTTTTTTGCGGGCTATCCCTCTTCGCTTCTTCAACCCAGAGCTGACCGAGCTTGTCTCTAGATCACCCGCGAGAGCGTTCTTGTCAAACCCATCAACACTCCGATCACACCCCTGTGCAGTAAGTAGTCACACCAGGCTTGAGACCTCAATTCCCTTCCCGTCACGCCATGTGACGCCTGTTTGAGGCGCGAGCAACGTTGTCGTGAAAAAAAATCCCTAGCTGACCTCGGCATTTTTCTCTTCCTCTAGCGAGCTTGACGACCCTGACCTGGGAACATGTCCGTAACGCTGGTACCTTCCGCGATGCCATTAACCGATTCGACACCTTTGCCAACGAACACTTGACTTCGCAAAACCTCGATTTCGTCTTCGTTACCCTCGATGCTTGGGACCTTCGCGTCCAGCTGCCCCGAGAGGCCCGTGACAAGGCTGTCGTTCTGCCCCCGTACCTTCAGCACTCCCGCACGTTCGATTTGCGAACCGAATATCAGAGATGGCAGCAACACCACCCCGAATCGTTGCCTTTTGGGCCCTCAATGCTGTCCAATATCTGTGCCGCCTTGGAGGTGGAGCCGGTCCAGTCCAGTGCTCCAATCAAGCACAACCTGCCTTTCCACCTTCAGGCGCTGGCTCCTGCGTCTCCTCGCCGCGCCATGGAGGAGGCCGTCACTCTCGCCCGCGTTCTGCGAGGCCTCATTCGCAAGTCGCAGCCTTCCCATGAGCACCCCGACGTCTTGACGAGACCAATGGATGCTCGCGCCGATGTGCGGGCTTTCTTGTCGGAGCGCAGCAAGGTTCTCCACATGTCTGGCCTGCCCCACGATACCACTCAATCCGAGCTGGAGAGCTGGTTCACTCAGTTTGGCGGTCGTCCCATTGCGTTCTGGACCCTCCGTACCCCTGAGCAGCACAAGCCCACCGGCAGCGGCTTCGCCGTGTTTTCTTCCCATGAGGAGGTGAGTCAGCCATTTCTTCATTGTACCCTGCACACTGTCTATTGTGTCTATCAAGGACCTACGTGTGGCGTTCTTAGCTGGACACTGTCACCAGAAGTGGCATTTTTGAGGTATCCTGCTGACATCCTTCGTAGGCCGCTGAGAGTCTGTGCATGAACGGTCGTGCCCTTAATGAGAAGGCGATCGAAGTGTCTCCGTCTTCCAGCCGTGTCCTGGACCGCGCCGCTGAGATCCTCACCCCCTTCCCGCCCAGCAAGAACCGCCCTCGCCCTGGCGACTGGACTTGCCCTTCATGTGGCTTCTCGAACTTCCAGCGGCGAACTGCGTGTTTCCGCTGCTCATTCCCGGCTGTGAGTGCCGGACCCACCGGCGACATGGGCTACGGCTACGGATACGGACCACCGGCCATGATGCCCCCTCCTCAGCACCACCACGGACACATGGGTCACGGTGGTGGTCGCATGGGCGGCAGCGGCGTTGTGCCGTTCCGCGCGGGAGATTGGAAGTGTGGCAATGAGGTCTGCGGTTACCACAACTTTGCTAAGAACGTATGCTGTCTGCGATGCGGCGCCAGCCGTGCTGGTGCCGCCGTCGTCGCTGACTCTGGTGGCTACCCTTCCCCCATGGACCCTCCCTCCAACTACAGCATGAGCCAGGGCTCCATGAGCGGCACGCCCGGACCTGGCCCCTTTGCCTCGGCCGGTGGTAACTTCGCCTCTCAGGGCGGCGGCTACGGTGGCGGTCAGCACTTCGGTGGCCCGCCCAGCACCTATGCTCTTCCCTCGGGCATTGGTGGCGGAGCTGCTCCCTACCCCTCCTCCCTCAACACGCATGGTTTCGGACCGGCCCCTGGATCCCACTCCGCCGGCCCCTTTGACAGCCGCGCTGCCGAGGCTGCCTTCCAGTCGGCCTCCAACGGCCCCGCATCCGCCGGCCCTTCGAACAACTTTTACTCGCAAAACGAAAACGACCCCTTTGCGTTCCTTTCCAGCGGCATTGGCGGTTTGTCCGTCAGCGGCGGCGATGCCCGCCAGAACGGAGGAGCTGCGCCTCCGAGCAAGTCTCCTGCTTAAATAACCACTTGGCTACAAACACGGGGATCTAGGCGAGCTACATCAGCCACCTTGGATCTTTTTTTTTGAGGGCCTACTTATTTCTGCGGAAACGAGCTTCGGAAACAAGACGAACATAGAGCATTGACCATTGGCAAATACCTTCAGGACTTACGCTTGCTTTCAACGGAAGGGGGTGTCTAGGTTTTGGAAGATCACTTGGAAGGAGGTTGGCTGTCGGTATACCAAGGGATGCGGGAAAAAAAGTTTGCTAGGCTGGAAAGACAAAAAGAGTGTTACACTACCGGAACGGACGGACACCACTGTTGGAATTGCTTTCTCCCTGACAAGCGTCAGTATAAAAGGGCTGGCTAGTTAAGGATTGTTGATTACGGCCGACCTTGCCTTTGGTTGGACGTTGCGGTTGCGGTACGGTCGGATTTTGGGCGGTCCAAAGGGGAGTGCATAGCGAAGGGAGTGTAACGGGTATACCTGGCCTTCATTGTGTGTGAGACGTGTTGATTTTTCAATATTTCTAGTTATTTTTTCCCAGTCTAAAAGTCATCATCATCGTGTCTGGTTTTCTCTTCTCTTTCGACATTTTCCACCATTTTCTGTCTCGTTCCACCTGGCCTTTCTTGCCCCTTTTCCCCTCCTCAACATCATCATATCCATTTCCAGATTGGCTTGGCATGTACACCCTTTTCCACCTCTCTCTCTCTTCTCGACACTAAAAACAACATATGGTTTTGTTCCTATACGGCGGAAATGGGCGGCAGCGTCTGGGAGTCGGGGAGTGAAACAGGGTCCAGGGCAGGCTGGCTGGCTTTGGCTTTGAAATAATCTTTGCTCATCTTTCTGAAAAAATGCGAATATTGTCTTGTTTATTGCTGTTGCTGTTGCTATTGCGTCAAAGGCATAAATGGCGATTCCTATTTGACCCTGTGTTTTGTTGCTTGCTATGTTGAAGAGATGGGTGGCGAGAGAGAAAGACAAAAGTATACTGACTTTTGCGGTTTTCGATTTTAATGCATGTGTTTACCTATGCTGTCTTGATATGTTTTCGGTGATAGAAGGGAGAAAAAGAGAAGAAAAGCTCAGCATGGTGTTCTGGCGCCTGCCTCTCTGGCCCGACTTGAAGTTTGTCACAGTTTCTCATAATTGAAGTCTTTCTGCTCTCCGACTGCTCAACCGACCTTGTGAACACTCTCTACCCAAATGATGATTGTACTGCAACTCGCACTTTGCCGGTTGAAATTAGCTTCCTCGCTGATGCCCTTACGAAGTCCCATGGTTCCAGAATGTATATGTCACGTAGGCACGGCGGCACAGAGGATATTCGATGCTACGTTGACAGTTGAAACGTTGAAAGGACAGCATGTTGGGAATCCGAAGTTATCTCCACAAATGACCACAGACGCCAAAAAAGACAAAAACGAAATGGTAAAAGTGCCATCCTCCGAGTTAGTCGCCGCCATTTTAGTTCTCCCCGTCCACCTTGGCCAACTCTAGTTGCGGCGAGCCAGCTAATAAAGCTACTTATAAGTATTCTTGAGACTCCACCTTGCCTATCGGTCAATCTCGTCAAGCGGCAAGTCGCCGTCGTCCCTGCCGACAATGGAGTCGGCGACCTTCCAGATCTGAAGTAGGTTGTCCTCGGCGGCACTGCAAACGAGCCAGGGTTCGTTGGGGTTCCAGCTGAAGTCTGCCAGGTGGTTGGTGTGTCCGCCGTGCATGAAGAGACTGTCCTAGTGTAAGCAGCTGAATGGTCCCTTGGGTAGGAGTAAAACTTACAGTTCTGGGGGTCCATCCTCCTGGTCGTCAGGCATCTGCTCCTCCCCAACGCGGGAGAGGTCCCAGAAGATGACTCTTCTATCGTAAGAGCCACTGCCGAGGATGCCGGCCTCCTGAGGGTGCCATGAGAGAGAAGTTACTGCGTCGTTGTGTCCCTCAAGCGTGTGAACCTTCTCCTTGACATTACGAAGATCCCAGATGCCCAGGGTCTTGTCGGCTGATGCCGTGGCAACGAGCACTTCGGATGTGGGGTTGAACGCGAGGGCGTTGATGGCATCCAGATGACCGCGCTTGGCGGTCACTGCAGCGCGGGTTGTATCGGCTTGTCGCACGTCAATAATTTGCATGGTCAGGTCGTCAGAGACCGTTCCGATGAAGCTCTTGGCGATGGGGTGGTATTGAACATCGTTCACAATCTGAGTGTGGTGTGTGTACTTGCGGTGGGGCTTCAGAATGTTGCTACCGCTTTGGAGGTTCTTGAGGTCCCTGTTGAAGACTGGGTTAGACTGGCGATGAATTTGGGGGACACGGCGAGACAAACCAGAGGCAGACGGTGCGATCTTCACTACCGGACGCAAGGCAGCCTTCCTCATGGGGGTTCCAGGCCAGGCCAAATCCTTCCTGCTTGTGGCCGATAAGCTCGATCTGAGCATTGACCTTGCCGGTGGGCTGCAGGCTGTGCTTTGTGCGATCGAAGACAAGGACCTTGCCGTCGACGCAGAGAGTCGCAATAATATCGGGGTTCTGAGGCTGGTAACGCGCCTTGTTGATCTCGCCGGGGTGGTCAATCTTCTGCACAATGTTGAACTCGACGGCGGTCGATTGCCCATTTGATGACTTGGCGTGACCTCCAATTTCTCCAGTCTCCTCATTGTAGTCTTCGGGGTTCGGGGCCACAGACTTGGGGATCTTGACTTCGGCGATCTGGACGTGGTTCGGGAGGCCCTCGGATGTGTGTGTTCCCAGAAGCAGTCTGTGGATTCGGTAGTTCTTGTCTTCAGGCTCCTTGACGTCAGGGAACCATTGGGTAGTGAGTGTAGGCCATTCGAGAGCGGTGCTGTCACATATTTAGTTACAATGGAGTTGCGACTTGTCAGCTTGCCGTACCTGAGAATCATGTCGTAGAGAAAGGGGCTGTTCTTCTTCCACGTCTTGTACTCTAAAGCCTGTTTAGCAAAATTTCATTCGAAGCCCCGAGTCTCCTGTAAACCTACCTTCATTGATGAGACGCTGCTCCTGATCTTCGTCCTCCTCTTGGATCATGTCGACTAGCAGAGAGGTCAGCCTGTCGTTTCAATTGGAGCTCGTCTGTGAAGCTTACCGTCGACATCGTCAACGACTTGTGCGGGCGCCATTGTGTAAAGTCGCGAAACTAAAGTAGAACCGCTCTATCGTGAGATCGCGAAAGGACGGTCGGTGGGCTTATTGGATGTGTTAAGCTACGCAGCGCAATGGTCGGAAAGTTCTTCTTGCTGGCGCAAACGACGGTCGGGTGGAGGTTGACGCGAGGTGGAGGTTCTGAAAGAAGACGCGCAGCGCGTAGATTGAAATTTGGCTGCATAGGTACTTAGCCTGAGCAAGCAAGGGCCAGGAAGGCTGGGAGACGCCTGCTACGCCAGGACGCAACGGGCATGGGCTCAACCGAACATGCTCCCCACACATTTCGGCGCGAAAAGCATCAGCCTCAGCTCCCCGGCCGAGGCGGGGCAATAGCTGTGGCGCAGTCCTACATTGTAGGCCCTGAGGCCAGTCCACCTCACCTAGAACATGCCCCAGAGTTCCGGCGCTTGTAGAAGGCGAAGAGTCATACCGTCAGGGCCAGGAACACTGATGAGCCGCTGTAGCCACTAGCGCCACTGGATTCTCCCACCTAGCCCCGCCACCGCCCAACACCTAGCTGGAGGCGGTGGTTCCTGCCCTGCATCATCCAATATCGATTGCGCCCATATCAGCCAGCATCCGGCGTCAAGTCCATCTGTCCAGCTTCATCTGCGCAACCAAAGATTCCACGTTCACGACCTCTCAACCCTTCCCCCCCTTCACACAGCTCGACAGACCGAGTTCCCTGTTCACCTGGCAGAATCGAAGACAAGTCTGGCTACTCGAATAGCCGACTGTTGATTATTCTTTCACTTGTTCATTTACTCTTTTCTTTTTCCGCGTCGCAACCAGCTTGCGACAGGCTCACCTGGACCTCCTGTGTCAGGACCTCCTTCGTGTTTAGAAGAAATACAAAATCCCAACAGCCCCGTTGCATCGCATCGAGACGGACCGATACAGACTTGTTGTTGTCTGTTGAATCCATTGCTTCGCTACAGAACTCGACCAATAGTTGCGCTTAGCTCAAGCGCGCCACCATCACCACATCATGGGGTTCGTCGAGCTTCAACTTCCATCCTTAGGCTAGTTTGCTAACCCCGTCACCCGCAGTGTTCCCAAATTCTTCAGATGGCTCTCGGAGCGTTATCCAGCCATCTCTCAGCTTATTGCTGAAAACCGCATTCCCGAGTTCGACTGTCTTTATGTTCGCCTCCCCTACCACGTTTTGGAATACAGTAGCTAATCTTTTGGGTAGCTCGACATGAACGGTATCATCCACAATTGCACGCACAAGGATTCGGGCGAAGATACGACATTCCGTCTTACCGAGGAGGAGATGTTTATACGCATCTTCAATTACATTGAGCACTTGTTTGGAAAGATCAAGCCGAAGCAGCTTTTCTTCATGGCCATCGACGGTGTTGCGCCGAGAGCCAAGATGAACCAGCAGCGTGCTAGACGTTTCCGAACCGCCCTCGACAACGAAAAGGCCCGTGACAAGGCGATTGCCGAAGGTGTCGAGATGCCCAAGGAGCCTCCTTTCGACAGCAACTGTATCACGCCTGGTACTGAGTTCATGGCCAAGTTGACGCAGCAGCTCAAGTACTTTGTCAACAAGAAGGTGTCCGAGGATGCCGACTGGCAGGGCTGCGAGATTGTCCTGTCTGGCCACGAGACCCCTGGTGAAGGCGAGCACAAGATCATGGAATACATCAGAAACGCCAAGGCGCAACCTGACTACGATCCTAATGTGCGCCACTGCTTGTACGGTCTCGATGCCGATCTCATCATGCTGGGTCTTCTTAGCCACGACCCCCATTTCTGTCTTCTCCGAGAGGAAGTCACCTTTGGCCGCGCGAGTAAGGCTAAGAGCAAGGAGCTGGAGCATCAGAACTTCTATCTGTTGCATCTTTGCATAGTCCGAGAATATCTCGAGTTGGAATTCCAGGAACTCAAAGAGCCTGGACGGCTGAGTTTCCCCTTCGATTTGGAGCGAGTCATCGATGACTTCATCCTCATGGCTTTCTTTGTCGGAAACGATTTCCTTCCTAACCTCCCCCGCCTTCACATCAACGAAGGTGCTCTTGCGGCCATGTTCCGCATCTACAAGTCTGTGCTTCCGCAGGGACAAGGCTACATCAACGAGGGTGGTGTCATCAAGCTTGATCGTCTTCAGATTTTGTTGAATGAGCTTGCCAAGGATGAAACCAACCAGTTCGAGGACGATATCAGCGATGAGAAATGGTATCAGTCCAAGAAGCTTGCTGAGTCCAACGGTGGCGAGAGCCGCAAGCCCAAGGGCAAGGGCCTTGTTCTGACCTCTTCTCAGAGAGATCTGTGGAAGCAGCAGATCAGACCCTATGTTAACAAGCCTTCAGCCGAACCCCTGGATCTCGGAACTGGTTTGAACGCTGCCGATCGCAAGTTTGTTCAAGATCTTGCAGATTCCCTCCACATCGAGTGGAACACCAAGGAGGATGATGAGGGCCATCGCCATCTCCTCTTGTCGTTCCCCGCGGGTGCGGAAAACATCAACGACGAGGAAGAGGAGGGCACCCTTGCGCTCTACCGAGTTATGCGCAACTACGACAAGGCCACTGTTGTCGATGTCACTGGCGAGGATGCTCAGAAGCAGTACAAGGAACTTTATGAGCAGAAGTACCAGGGTTGGAAGACCAAGTACTACCTGCAGAAGTTCCCCGAATGGGAGCCTGAGAAGTACGAAACCGAGCTCACAAAACTTTGTGAGAACTACGTGCAAGGTCTCCAATGGGTCTTGTACTACTACTACCAGGGAATCGCCTCGTGGCCCTGGTACTACCAGTACCACTACTCTCCTTTGACCTCAGGTACGTCAGATCTTACACTGATTGTTGAATTTCGCTAACAATGACCACAGATGTTGTCAAGGGTCTTGGAGCTGACCTCAATTTCAAGTTGGGCCAGCCTTTCAGACCATTCGAGCAGCTCATGGGTGTCTTGCCCGACCGAAGCAAGTCCATTGTTCCGGATATCTACTGGGATCTCATGACCAACCCAAACTCGCCCATCTACGATTTCTACCCCAGAGACTTTGAGCTCGACATGAACGGAAAGCGCATGGAGTGGGAGGCTGTTGTGAAGATTCCCTTCATTGACGAAAAGCGTCTGCTCAGTGCGATGGAGCCCAAGAACAAGCTCCTCAGCAAGGACCAGAAGGACAGAAACGGCTTCGGGGTCGCTCTCAAGTTCACCTACAACCCCGATGTCAACATCACCTACCCTTCCTCTCTGGTTGGCGTTTTCCCCGACATCACCCCTTGCCACTGTGTGGAGAACATTTTTGAGCTCCCCAACACCGAGGGCCTCAAGTTCCTCAACGGCCTTACCGATGGTGCCAAAATCAACATTGAGGCACTGGCAGGATTCCCAACACTGCACACGCTGCCTTACACGGCGTCGCTGATTGAGGGCTTTGGTGTCAACGTATTCCAGGCAGACAGCAAAAACCCCAGTCAGATCGTCACTCTGACCGAGTCGGAGGTTAGGACGAGAGCGCAGGTGGCTGCAGGAAAGCTAGGCAAACGATGCTTCGTCGGATACCCCTTCTTGCAGGAGGCCAAGGTCGTCAAGGTCACCGACGAGCTGTTCGACTACGAGCTCGACCAAAACGGCTCAGTCGTCCAGACGCATCTTGGTCCCAAAGAAATGCACTTCTTCGCCAAGGAGTCCCGCTACATTGAGGACTGGCACTCCAAGCGCCTGGGCATCGTCATTGGCGATGTTGAGTCTCTGGTGCATGTCCATATGCTCAAGGGACTGATCAAGACCGAGGAGGGTGCCTTGATCAAGGAATACGACTTGAACCCCAGCATGAGAAGCGTCTATGCTTCTCAGACCATTGTTGACGAAGTCGTCAACGAGGACCAGCGCTTCATCGAGAAGGCTGCTGTCCCTATTGAGGAGGAGTACCCCGTCGGTACCCAGGCTTTCTTCCTGGGCGAGTATAACTATGGACGGGCTCTCGAGGTCACCGGCCACGCCAACAACAAGGCCAACATCCGAGTTCTCGTCCTCAAGAACAAGGAACCCGAGTTCGCTAAGCCCATCATCCAAGAAATGAAGCGCCAGAACCGATACACTCCCTCATACGCCGTCGCAAAGATGCTCGGCCTCCACCCTTTGATTCTGAGCAAGATCCTGTCTTCCTACCAAGTTAACACCGTTGGTGGTCTCCGTGTCAACCTCGGTCTCAACCTAAAGTTTGATGCGAAGAAGCAGAAGGTGCTTGGCTACTCGCAAAAGTCAGAGTCTGGATGGGAGTTCAGCAACGCCGCCATCGAGCTTTTGGCCAGGTACATTGCTGCCTTCCCTGATTTCTTCGCCGCGATTCAGCAGAACCCTCAGGCTAGTGACGTGAGCGACACCGACCTCTGGAAGGATCCCAAGGTGGGATCTCAGCGAGTGAAGGAAATCGGAGCTTGGCTCAAGGAGGCGCAGACCCGCAACTTTGAGAGAGTGCCCTTGGAGGCCGAGCAGCTCGACTCGGTTGTGGTCATGAAGCTTGCCGAGGCCGGTGCGCAGGCCTTTACCCAATCTCACGAGGTCGAGGTCAAGAACATGAAGGGTGTTCCTCGCTCGGCTATCATGAAGCCTAGTGATGCTGAGCTGTTCTTGAGCGGCCAGAAGTTCGCCCTTGGCGATCGTGTTAGCTTCCTGTCTTCTTCTGGTAAGGTGCCTCTCGGCAGCCGTGGAACTGTTGTCGGCCTCAGCCGCACTGCCAACAACCTGCTCTTGGATGTTGTCTGGGACTTGACCTTCATGAGTGGCACGACTTTGGGTGAAAGAGCCCCGCCTTTCCGCGGTATGACAGTCGCTTCCTCCTCGGTGCTCAACACCACCTTCAAGCAGGTTGTCTCCGGCTCAAAGGCTGGAATGCAGCGTAAGCCTGCCCCGGCCCCTGCCTCGCTTACCACTGCCGCCACGGGCGTTCCTCAGTACAGGGATGCGCCTGCCCCGGACCGTGGCGCTTGGCGTGGTGGTGCCAACGGCGGCCAGGGCCAGCCTGGCCGCGGCCGTGGTCGTGGAGGCGGCCCCAACTTGCTCCACAGCACCCTTGTGTACAGACCTCATCCCAACGGTCAACACGGCGGGGAGGAGAACCACGAAGCCAACGGTCAAGGCCAGCGCGGCGGAGGTTTCCGAGGCAGAGGACGCGGCCGCGGAGGCCCCATCCAGAACCCTGGCTACTCCGGTCTCCACGAACAGCCGGCCCAGCAGCCCATGTACGGCAACGTGCCGCCCCCAGCCAACCTCGACGCTCGTGGCAGAGGCCGAGGACGCGGTGGACGCGGTGGACGCGGCCGAGGAGGAGCCCGTGGCCGCGGTGCTGCAAACGGGCAGACTAATGGAGCGACTCCCGACGCCGCCCAATCCTAAAGATACATCGTGTGCTTACATTTCTATGGTCTTTCTTGGTTCAGCAGATACCCCTTGAAGAAGCGATTTGGTTTCTGATAGATGGCAATGGTTTCCAAAAGTCTATGGAGTATAGAAATGGCATTTACATTGGGCTTGGGGGTGCATGGCGACGGGTCTTTGTCTATATTGGCCAATGTCCGATTTGGGAGATGGTTAGTCTAGAATAGTCCAGACGGTCAGCCGTCGTAGATAGAATCTGGAAATCAATGCATCAAGCTGCGCCATCACATGAGAAGGAAACCGCCGTATGTGACAAGACAGTTTAACATGGCATTTCCAGCTCGAAATTGTATTCAATCACGCAAAAGTTCAATCTACGTTCAAGGCTTCTTCTCCTTGACCTTGAGAGCAGGAAGCTTGAAGACCTTGCTAACACCACCCTTGAGTGCCTTCCAGCCGCCAATATCAATGTTCTGATTCCACGTCAAGATGCCCACCCACGGTTGAACGTTGTAGTGCAGCTTCAGGACGACCTTGTCGGCTTCCGCGATCTTGCTCGAGGGATGCGTGATTTGGTACTTTGGCTTCTGGTTCTTGATGTGGAGTTTGCCGCTGCGAAATTTGGTCAGCATTCTGATACGGCCTGCTATGAAACTTGAGGTCCAAAGTCTTACCGGTTGGGGTCGATGCTCTTGCCCTCGGCGCTCTTCCTCAGCTTGCGCATGGCGGCGGGGCCGATATTGGCGAGGTGGTCGGAGCTGGGAGCGGTGATGATCTGGTCCCAGATGACGGCCTGATTTGTGGCGTTTGTGCCGGCGGACTTCTTTGAGCTATCGGGCCATTCTGCCGTGACGTAGACGAAGACCTGCTTGGTGTTCCAGGTGAAGAGCTCCGAGAGGTCGGCGTCGAGGGAGAACTTGATGATGGCGTACTCCTCCTTCTTGGAGGAGTAGTAGTGGGGGCGTCCCTTCACGACCTGGACATTTGTGGTCTTTAGGGAGCCTACGGAAGGTGCGCGCGGGGTGATGAGGTCGGAGGCGGCGATGAAGGCGGCGACGAAGAAGGCTACCGTCGTGAAGAAGCCAAAGGTGTTTTGGGCGCGGGTTAGGGTGTTGTACATTTTGACGAGACCTGGCCACCCTGTTGGGGCGTGAGGTGGGCTACCTGTTGTCTGGTCGAAAAGAAAGAATAAGGCGCTTGTCAGCAGCTGGATTGCATGAAGGGAAAGTAGGAAGAAAAAAGGGAACTGAAGCTTTTGTTCGCGATCAGATGCGACGTGGGAGGCCACGTTTGGGGGAACAAGCTTCAGCCTTGCGGACCTGGAGATGTGGCTTTAGCGCGCCATTGGTTGGAGCTCCAGCTTGTGACGGGAGGTCCCCTTAGAGGTACCTGGGTACGTCGTCCCCAGCTGGAGCTAAGGAACCTACCGAACCGGTGGTGTGGTCTGTGGGGCCGTAAACGGCTCTTGCCGGTGGGTACTTTACGGGCCCAGCATGAGAGGTGAATGGCATTAAGATGCATTCCACCTCGGGTTTCTTGAAGCAGCGGATGCTCTTCATCGGATCCTTGTCCATCTGCGTTCACCTTTATACCACATGTAGAGTATGCAGCTAGACTTCCCTGATTCCAGTCTTCATGGTCACCATGTACTCCGTAGTAGGTCGCTGTAATGGCAGAGGATGGGAGGAAAGAGACACGGTACTTTGCTCTGGTTATCTCCTTCCATGTACGTATCCATGTCCCGCTTTGCACATCTGAAGTGCCTCACCTTGTCAACGTGGTAGTTCCTCTTCTCTTCTAACATCACCACTTGCAGTGCTCTCTTGCAACTAAGTCAGGCTGGGCCAAGAGCAGAAGCTTCCGCATTTAATCCATTGCAACTGGCTCAATTCCGAACTCTGCTTCTTATGCTTCCTCCCCTCTCACCACGTAGTCCCCAGCCTTCTTTTCTTCTCGTCCTTTTCTCGATACCTCGACGTACAGCGATGCAACATGGCACCCAAGAGAAAACCAGACATCCGACTTGGAGGTGAGAATCAGGTATGTCATTGTCCCTCTCAGGGCACCTATCTTATTGGTGTAGACCCGTGGCCACGCTCCTTTCGTTTCTTCTCGGCTTAAGCGGCGGGGATGGTGGGGGAACGCTTCCATTCGAGAAGGCAAGTGCCTCCTGGCGGAAGTCGCGCTCCGGCGCGCTGGGTTTAATGGAGTGGATCCCGTCAGAGCTGCCCACGTCGCGCACAGCACAGGCCCCAGGCCACGATGAGACTTCCGGGTTGCAAATCCGCTTAGTTCCAGCGCGTGTCAGCGGGTACCACTGCACCTTTTTTCTGGTCTCCAGCGTCCCCTCGGTGCCACCGAAATTTTGAGGTGAACCCCGTGGATGCAGGGCCAGCCTCTGCCTCTGGACCCCACTGCTAACCGCACTTTCACGACCGAAGCAGGAGCGTGTGATCCCTCCTTCACATTCATATTCTAGAGTCGCGAGATCTCCCTGCGATGAAACGTCACAAACGGGCGCATCTCTGTCTTTGTCCGACTTTCCTGCGCCCTCTTCGACCGACCGATACGCCTCGAGCCCATACCCCACGACTAAGGCCCACCGCAGAACGCAGCGAGGACGGAGCTCTGGAGAAGACTGCGCATGCGGCAGAAGGGGCGATTGAGACTGAGGAAAGAGGCAAGCAGGCCGGCTCGCAGGTCACACATGTCTGTTCCAGCCGGAACATTTCCATGAAGAAGAAACGGCAAACGTAAGCCGCTACGCAAAGCACACTTTGTACCAAGATTCGAACTAACATGGGGTTTGGATACCAGGCCCGAGGAGCTTCTACAACGATTCTACGACAGTGCCTGTCACTCGTTTCCCACTTACGGGTATGCCTCGATCCGAAACATACAGCAGCAAAGAGAGACTGCTGACAATCACTCTTGCAGGACCTCGAAAGACGGAGTTCCCGTTCCGGATCCAATGGTGAGTCTGCCCTACAAGCAGACTAGCAGTCGGGACTGACGATGGCACAGAATTCAAGAACCAGACTGGCGTTGACTGGCGGCAAGCCTCCTGCTTTCAATAATCTCAGCAAAGACTCCAGCAAGCGATCAATCGCCGAACCCCCGAGAGTAGCCAAACGTCAAAAGGTACAACCCGAGACTACACCAAGAGATGTCCCAGTACACGCCACCCTTACAACACAGACGTTCGCTCCGCCTGTGGCATCCTCGTCGCTCTCACCGCAAATGCCCGCATTGGTCGACTTGACGCATTCGCAGCGGTCGGTGGACGGGGATGCGGCTAGCAACCGCAGCACACACTCGGTAAACTCGACTGCGAGCGGAAGCGAATTCAGAAACGTGGAAAAAGCGCACAGCGGTTCCAGTAGGGGCGGTAGGAGATCTGGCAATCGCCCTCGTCCCCGAGGACTGCGAGTCAGAGACTCAAAGAAGCCCGAGGGCTATGACTGGGATGGCGAGGATGAGATCGTCCAAGACCAGCCAACACAGAATAGGCGGGCTCGTGGAGATTCGACAGAAGCCCCCAGAAAAAAGGCTTTCCGTCAACCCCCGAGACGCGGTCAAGATGATATACAAGAGGTTTCGGAGGACGACGAACTCGCTTTCCAGACCGGGCGTAGTCGTCGAGCGGGAGACGACATCTCGGATGATGATGGAAAGTCACCAGACGCCGCCAACACAAAACGGAAGCGAGGAGACATGGCCACGGTGAAATTCGAAAAGTCACAACCGGTTAAATCGCAGCCAGTCATATCGCAGCGGGGCATTTTCCAGGACTTTACCCTCAAAGTTGTTCGTGCCGTGTCAGGGAAGGACACCTTCGAGGCCAAGAAGCCAGAGGAATGTGTTCTCCTGAAGCTGGACGAGCACTTCAGGAGCCTCATCGCTTTCGATCAGGCAGGCAAGCCTTTTTCGGAGAGAGGGTGGCTGGATGTCAAGTTGATGTTCTGTACTAAAATATTTTACAGCATCACGGGCACCCCGTTCGCGGTAATTTGGAGATCTTCTTTTTCAAACGTAGGAGGCTTACTGGTGCTCGGCTTTGCTGGACCAGGAGATGCCCACCGCCTTGGGGACTGGGCTGAAGCCAGGGTAAAAGCCTTCGTTACACAGAAGGTCGACTGTTCCCCCAAGGACAGGTATGTATTCCGGCGGGTCGCTCTCAATCTCAAAGTGCTAACAAAAAGCTAGCGAGTATCTCCAGAAGATCTATGAAAAGCAAAAAGCGATTGCGGAGAAGTGGGAGGACAAAAAAGACTCTCTGCCGGATGATATCAAGCTCCTGGAACACAAAGAGGCGATCAAGGCCAAATCCGATACGATATCAGTACCGTGGACTCAGTCGAAAACCAGTCCTCCAAGCAATCCACCACTTCGCGGTAGTATGAAGGCCGAAGACTCATCGCGTTCGTCGAAGCCCGAGATTACGCCGTCACGTTCTTCAAAACCCGACACTACAACGTCTTCCTACTTCGCTCCCATCAGCCATGACACCGGGACTGAGTCTCGACAGGCCAAGGAATCGCCCAGGGAAGCAAGGAGCACCGCCAGACGAGTCCAGGAATCTCCTCTTGGCATGCCCAAACGCAAATCCCCAAGCCCCGTCTCGTGGATACAGCAAAACCCTGATTGGGACAAGATATGGAACGAGAAGCCGCTTATTTTCCCAGCTACGGGAAAGAACAGAGCGTCAGTCTACCGTGATGATATTTCGCGCCTGGAAGAAGGAGAATACCTGAACGACAATCTCATTGGTTTCTACCTGCGGCATCTTCAAGTTCACCTGGAAAAGGAGAACCAAAAACTATCCGACCGTATCTACATTATGAACACTTACTTCTATCCCAAACTGACTGACACCAAGGCGGGCCGGGGGATCAACTACGAAGGCGTCAAATCCTGGACTGCAAAGGTCGACCTTTTCGCCTATGACTACATCGTGGTGCCCGTCAATGAAAGTGCTCACTGGTATCTGGCAATCATCTGCCATCCATCCAAGCTGCTCAAGACAGATGACGGTGAACCCGAAGTCAAAGATGGCAAATCTCTGGATGAGCTCAAAGAGGAATTGAAGGAAACCCCAGAAGAGAAGCCCGTAGGACTCTCGTCGGAGGAAGGCATAGTTTCTACTGTTGGCGAGCAAGTCGAACTGATGAGTCTGGAAGAGAGCCAACCTGGGAAAGAAGAGAAGAAGGAAGAGCCAAGGCCCGGAAAGAAAGACAAGGGACCGTCTACGAAGCAACGTCAAGTACGCAAAAGCACGGGAATCGCTTTTCGGAAGCAGGATCCCAAAGAAGCCAGAGTCATCACTCTTGACTCTCTAGGCGTCGGGCACTCCCCTACTTGCGGCAACCTGAAGGCCTACCTCGTCCAAGAAGCCAAAGATAAGCGCAACATGGAAATCGAACCACCTGGTACCTTTGGATTGACGGCAAAGAAAATCCCTGAGCAAGAGGATCACGCAAGTTGCGGCGCATTTCTCCTGGGCTACATGCGTGAGTTCCTGAAGGACCCCGACGGCGTGGTCGCCAAAATAGTTCGTAAAGAGCGGCTAGATTGGGGCATCACATCCCCCGCGATGCGAAGCGAACTCCGCACCATCATTATCGAACAGAGGAAACTACAGAATGCCACCTTGGCGGCAGAGAGGAAAGCTAAGCGCATGTCTACTGGACAGCCTACCCCCGGCAAGCTGTCGGAAGAGCGTCAAGAGAGCGAGCTTGCGCCCCCGAGAACTCCTCAGCCAGCGGCTGACGTGCCAAAGAATCCGTCATCCACTGTCAAAGGGTCTCCGCCAATAGGTCTGCCTCCCAACAACCGCATCAGCCCGCCGGCGAAAATCGAGGGAGGCGCCGCAACCTCTCTCTCTGGAGAACCCGATTCTTCGAACCTGGGTAAACCTATCACTACTGGGATCGAAGAAGTCTCGGACATTGCTCAACCCGTTGGTTTCGAGGAAGGCCCGAGGATGGAGAACACGCCGCGGGTCGAGCCCGATGCACAGCATATCGAAGCTTGTGAACCTGGCCCGGCAGTCGCGCGCTCTGTATTACCTGGCAACACCATTCTTCCGACCAACGAGCAATGCGACGTGATGCGAACTCTCGTGGACAGTTTCGAGCCGCCAGCGACGCCGATTCGGGAGGCATCGCGCAGTGGCAACTCAACTGGAGGTCGGCTCAGAACCAGTCCTCGTTTTTCAAGAACCAAGCCGGTCGAGGTGGACGAGAACCAAATGCTTCCCGCACTGGAATCGACGCCGGCCCAGCCTTCCGATCAAGTGTCACCAGGTTCTCGAAGTTCAAAGAAGAAACCGGGCAACAGTCACAAGATGTTACAGCCACTTGCGTCTTCACCAGCCCAGTCTGCCGAGCAAAGAAACGCAGCTATCCGGGGTTCTAAGAGGAAACTCAGTGTCAGTGAGGAAATACTACGCGACCTGTCTTCTCCACCGCCCAAGGCCGCTCGCAAGGATGAAAAGCCTGAGTCCCAACCTCAGAAGGGTGACTCGCCGAGTCAACAACTGCTCGGCGAATTGCAATCTTCCGGCGAGTCGATGCCAGGGCAGAGCCTCACATCCGGAAGGGATGCTAGAATGCAAGAGAGCATCATTATCGAAGACGCGGAAGCTCCAAAGACGTCGCCTCGGACGTTGACAAACACTATCACGCAGAAGAGTTCTTACTTTGAGGTCAAGTCGCCGCCTCGGTCTGCTAAAAAGAGGAAGCAGCCCTCTCCGCAAGACCAGCGAGCAAGGAATAGGGCGATACCGAGCATCGAGCGGGACGCCGAGAGCTCATTCAACAAAATCCAGGGGCCTGCGAACGGCTCTGAGACGGTGGATCTTACCGTGAACTGATCAGGAACCGAATCATGATACCCCGTTAAGTGACGATTGAGGAGAGGCGGAGACAATGAGGCGGTTGGACCTGTCGTGGAGGTTGGCAGAGGAGAGATACAGCGTTCGTTTTCCTGGACTGGTTGGCGCGAAGGCGTTTGTCCAAATAGTGTGTAATGGCGTAGCTATACCCCCATACCCATAGAACGTTGCATGGCGTCCCAAGCACATCAAAGAGATAAGACAATTTTTTCTCGAAGAGTGGCTGCAATTTTTTACGTCGCTTTGACAGAGAGTAGAGGCTCATCTCGTAGTTCGTACATTGTGGTACAAGATCCTCTATAAGTAAGTGCTTTTTTCCCCAAACGCCCCTCTCCTAAAGGGAACATCTCTATATGCTTTTCTTTACTCGCTTCCCGAATCCGATGCATCATTATGGTTACCGTTGACTTCCGGCTTTTTCAACACCTTTGGCACCTCAAACACGTATCCTCCGTTCTTGGCGGTGCCCTTGCGCATCTGCCACCTGCCCAGCCTATGCTCTTTGCCTACTGCTGCTACGACACAGATGCCGTCCTGCCCGCGCTCTCCGCGTTCAAAGATGGCAATGTCGTTGATCACGCCCTTCAAGCCGCCAGCGGCACCTTCTGACTTGCCCTTGGCGGCCTTTGAGGCCTGCTGCTCGGCTTCTGATGTGAGGATCCCCGCCTCCTCGAGCTTCCTCTTGTCCTCGCTTAGACGCCATACCCGTATGCAGCCGTCCCAGCTGCCGCTGAGGATGACGTCCGAGTACGGGATCGACTTGAGCGCCGTGATCCACCGCGGTTGCGGCGGCGGCACGATGCTGGGATCTGGGTTGTGGTCGGCCGAGACCTCGTCCGGTCGGAGGGGCTGTTCCAGGCCGTGGGCCATGGGGAAGATGTGGAGGGGCTTCTTTTTCGTGACGCTCCAGAGGGCCAGGGAGCCGTTGTCGCTGCCGGTGACGAAGAGCTCGTCGTCGATCATGGCCACGCGGTCCATGCTGCCCTCGTGCGGGAGGGAGCGCGGATCGACGTCTGGGCGGGACTTTTTGTCCACCGCGCCGCCGCGGAAGACGAGCTGCGTCTCCTCTGCGACCTTCCACAGGCGTGCTGTCCTGTCGCGGGCGCCTACGCTCACGCAGCGCTCCTGGGCGAGGGCGTCAATGTCGACAATCTCGTCCTGGTGGCCGAATAGCGTCTCAATGTAGGCGAGCTCGTCCAGGCTCCAGACCTTAACCGTGCGGTCTTTTGAACACGAGTACAGCTGGTTTGTGCCGCGGCGGAATGCGAGGCCGGTGACGGCGTCGCGGTGGTGGGTGAAGACGCGGAGGGGCTTGAGGGTCTCGGCGTCGTAGATAATGAGCCTGCGGTCCTGGCCGCCCGTGACGACGTATTTGCCGTCGGGCGACGCCGCGACGCAGAGTATCTTTTCGACGTGGCGCTGGTACGACTTCTTCTGGGCCTGAGCCAGGTTGCCCCTCAGCCAGTTCTCGAGCTCGGGTCTCTTGCGCGGCGGCGCTGGCGGCTTCTTGGGCTTCTTCTTGGTCGTCTGCGGGAACTGGTGCTGGGGCAGGTCTTGTATCCTCCACTTGTGCAGGTACATGTCCTTGGTGGTGGTGTAGGCGTAGGGCGCGTTGACGGCGACGGAGGTGAAGGTCTCGGTGTTGTTGCGGAAGAAGGACGAGGTCGCCCGGTCAAAGGCGAGCTCGTCGACGAGGGTGCGGTAGACTTTTCCCTTGGACTCGGCCACGTCCTCTTGTAACCTCTCGTTGATCAGGTCGCGATCAATGTCGGCGGCGTCGAACCCCACCTCGTCCACCTGCTGCTTGACGTTCTCGAGGTACCGTTCGGCGAGTCTCAACCGGCGCTCGGCGGCCGTCTCGCCCGCGTTGTCTTCGTCGTCGGAAGAGGAGCCATTGTCGCTCTCCTCGTGGGCGGAAACTATGCTCTCGAGGTCAGAGTCGCTGCCCGAGATCGATTCGTCGTCGTCGTCGCGCTCATTTCGCTTCTTGGAGGCTGGTGCTGACGCTGCCGGCTTCTTGCCTTTGCTGCCGCCTTTGGCCAGTGCAGCAGATTTCGGAGGGGCTCTGTTAGACGTCTTTGAAGCGGCAATTCGCTTCTTGGGGGCTGCGGGGCCGTCTGTTCGCTTGCGTTTCTTGTTGGCGCCGGGTATCGTGAAGAAAGACGACATTGTGGGCGGTAGAGAGAGCGCCGTTCGCTGTGCTTTGCCTGGGAATCTGGGCAAACAACTTTCCGTCCTGGCCCGCCTACATTGACGATATTTTTTTTTCGCCTGGCTGCTCGAGGTGGGCTTGCCAGAAAAAAAAAGTTCGGTGGGTCCGTATCTCGGAGAATCAGATAGCAGTGTGGGGTATGAGTGCACCCAATCATGAGTGAGTTAAGCAGGGGTGGTTTTTCCGGGCGGGCAGCGGTCTAGCTAGGCAGAATCCGCCCAGGACGGCCCATCCGTTCAGGCTGTAGCTTGACTGCGCGTTCCGGGGGGTAGCTCGAAGGCAGGTCGAAGGCTGACGAACAACCGACATTCAACACCAACGAACGCAACATCACCAACGTTTTCCCCCACAACAAACCCAAGCAGACCAAAACCAGAACCACAGTCAGAATGTGAGATACCAGCTTCCCGATTCTCTGCTTGTTGGAGATGCAGTGAGCTAATATGGAGTGCGATTGGCAGGGAGGTACTACTGGGTATCACGGGCAAGGACTTCACCATCATTGCAGCTTCCAAAGCTGCCATGCGCGGTGCAACGGTCCTGAAGACTGCCGACGACAAGACGAGATCCCTGAACAAGCACACACTGATTGCATACTCTGGAGAGTCTGGTGATACCGGTTAGTCTCCTGCATCATAGAGCTCCCAACCCCGCTGGAGATGGAGGGGCGAGCATCGAAACCAACCCCTCTACCCGGTTCAGTCACGATATGCGAGCTTCGATATGCTGACCCGAACTCTACAATGTACAGTGCAATTCGCCGACTACATCCAAGCAAACTCCCAGCTCTACTCGATGCGCAATGAGACAGACCTGTCCCCCTCCGGCCTCGCCAACTTCGTTCGTGGCGAGCTTGCCTCGAGCTTGCGGTCGCGGAAGCCGTACAACGTCAACCTGCTCCTCGGCGGCGTCGACCCTATCACACAGAAGCCCGCGCTGTACTGGCTGGACTACCTTGCGTCATTGGCGCCCCTCCCATACGCCGCCCACGGCTACGCACAGTACGTTGACCAGCACTGGAGCTTTCCCACGAAGCTACTTCAGCCAAGCTCCCGAGCTAGAATCAGGGGGTCGTTTGGGCTAATTTGGTGATGCAAACAGATACTACTGCCTGTCAATTCTCGATAAACACCACCACCCCGATATCACGCTCGGCCAGGGCATCAAGATCCTCAACCTGTGCACGGATGAGCTCAAGAGACGGTTACCCATCGACTTCAAGGGCATGACGGTCAAGGCCGTGACCAAGGACGGAATTGTGGACATAGAGTTCGATGACGACAAGGTGGTGAAGGCTGCTTGAGGCGGCCGAGATGCGGATGCGATGACAGGAAATGAGGGGCCTTTTGGGACTGTGGTGCGAGGGAGCATCAGAGAACAAGAGAGAAAGAGGCCATAACCAGCAAAACTGTACTACTAGACCGGGCTGGTAATTGATACAGGCATCAGTTCTATCACGACAAAACGCCATTTCTGGAGAGACGTTGTCCCGTGCTTCATCTGTGGCTGAACAACTCGAGTATGAGATATGCTGATTCAAGATGGGACTATCGGCACGGGGAAACACAAGACGGCATTGTTTATGAAGAAGCGGGATTATGCCATTCTCTTCCGGCCGACACAGGGCAGTCCCGAATTCGGGCTTGACCGTGCTCGACAGCAGCGTGATGGTTGCTGTATCAGTCTACCGTCGTAGTGGGAGCGACTCAGTCAAGTGTTGGGAAGCAAACAGGAAGCGAGGGAGGGTGGTCAGTTCAAGCGGTGAGGTCACGGTTTTCCTATAGGCACGGTTCCAGAAAGGCGTCCAAGGTCCTGAAACGGGTGCCGGGCCGCTCACTTTTCAGAAGAAAAGCAGCGGTCGGAACCGCTCGAATCATTCGATTCCTTTGCCTTGAGGAACCTGGAAAGTCTGGCGCTTCAGCCGAAAACCAGCTCCAAGTATTTACCTCGTCCAATCTCTCGCGTGTTTGATAAGGATGTCGTCGATTCCTTTTGGACTGAAAGGGAGGGATGTGATGTGATTGACTGGGCGGATGATGTTCCGGCCGGTTGACCGATCCACACGTTCAAACACTGAGACGGTGAGACCTCCCCCCGATGTACCGTTGTAACTTGTATCTTTGAACCCCTCCGGCGTTTGACTCGCACCATTTCCCTTTTGACCCTTCAGACTTTGGATGTTTCCCTGTCTTTTTGGTGGCTGACTAGTCGCGCATCGATTCTTTATTGGTTTACGGGTTGCATATGGCGGGTTCGGCGGTTCCGAGGTTGTTCGACAACGCTTGAAGCATCTTCCCTTTTCCTTTTGCGGTGCTCTATCGGCGTTTTCTGCAGATTCGAATTTTACATTAATATTTCTTGGGCTGTGGTGTCGGGGTTCTCAGGAAACTGATGCACCGCCACTGGAAGAATCAGTGAGAAGCGAAGCCTCTGCGGGTGGCCCCCACGAAATGACGTCTTTCAGTACTGGCGGGCGTTGTCTGAGGCTTCTACCCAAGTTTGTCTTCACCACAAGAACAATGCGTCTGCTCTCCAATGGAAATAAATCCGCTGATGGGGATCGAGGGCCAAACCTATATCCTCAATCTTGCTGCTCCAATGGCACCAGTCTCCGCACACAGATGGATGGTTTTGGGAGCCCGTCGGAAGGCAAGGTCCCAATCGTTCTGTTTGTGGTCATGGTGCAGTGAAATGTCACCAAACAGAACAGGCCTTTTCTCCCACTCCTCTTTGCATCTTGACTTCGTGATCGTAAGAAAGCCTTGGCTGTGATCCTGGTTAGGGACGCCTTGGATTGTATCTTATCGCCACTTGGACTCCAGTCTCCAGCCTTCCATATCCATAACATCGACTTGCGGGGCACCCTGTAACCCCGAGCTTCATGTCTTGTTTCTTCCCGTCTGCGGATACAAATGCTAGTCTGGCCCGGCCACCAATACACCAGCCCCTGGACTGCGTACCTAGCCAAGAAATCACCCCATTCAGGTAGGTACCAACCTTCTGCAATAATCCTCTCTTCGACCTGTTGGCCTTGGAATAATCCAGAGTTGGCCGGCACGGGGGAGCGCTAGATTTAAACTTGCACGCAGTAACAGGATCGGAACACCCAGCCGTGTTGGACTCCAAGGGTCGGGTCCGTTCATGCGCGGGCCGTAGCGATGGATGGACGTGACGTTTGTTCACCTCAGCTGAGGTAAGGCACCCGAGCACGTTGTACCCTTCCCACCGGTACGTACCGGCGTTATTCTTCGTGCCTGGTATCTCCTTCCACCTCCGCGGTGTCCAGTCAAAAGGCTGTCACTGGATTGGTTCCCGTTCCCTCCCTCCTCTTCAGCCCAAGAAGAAGGCGATAAAATAGTGACTCAGAAAAAAAAATTAGTACGAAGGGGATGGAAAACCTGGATGGTTGTTGGTTGGAGAGAGTTTAGCGTGGCCTGTCACCTCACATGTCATCATACTTCTGGCCCCTTCACCCTGTAGAAAGCAAGCACATGCTACACGTCCTCGAGGGTGGCCAATCCGGTGCTTTGCTTATCCACCCCCTGGGCGGGCTGTAGCGGCTGAGAGGGAGCCTGAAGCCTGTCGTGCGCTCTCACTATCTATTTCCCGTAAGGTAGTTAAGGTAAGGTAGGTTCCCATGGTTCCTTACTCCAGAGACTCCTGAGTCCTGACGGGATTCTTGCCTACTTAAAGCCTGAGCGGGCGGCAGGCGTGTGCCCCCGGAACTTACCTCACCTTAGGAACTTGGAAATAAGCACGTAAGGTACCTCAAGAAGGAAGGCAGGCACTGGCTGTGCTCCTGTCCAGGCCAGGCCCAGTCCAGTCGAGGCAAGGGCAGCCCGTAGACTCTCATCACCGCGGAGTGCCAACAAGGGAAGGAACGCCTCCCCAAATTTTTGCGGGAGGGAAGGTATGGTTGGGGTGCGTGGGTGCCATGGCCAGCAGCGCCCAGTGCTGACGGAGCCAGGTTGGCAGGGGTGTGTGGCCTTTCTGGTGGATTCCGACACAATCTCAAACCGAATTTTTTTTTTCTCCCCTACTTCTTGCCTCCTCCTCCGATCTTCAAAATCCCTTTTCCCTCCCACAACCTCCCCCCCTCCTCCCACACAAAACTCTTCCCACCTTACAAAAACAAAAGGGATTATATTCCTTCAACCCCCCATCCCCCTCACCGACACATCACATTTCATCACCTGTTCTCTTGTCTTTCCTTTGACGCATCTTGGGAAAAGCAAGTCTTCAGAACTAATCGTCGTGCGCCTGAGCACTACGCGCCTGCCTAATAGACGAACACCGAGAAGGACAAACTTAGGAAAGTCAACGACCCGACTTTCTGTTTCTTCTTCCTCTTTTTTCCATCCTTCGGTTTGCTTTTTTATCAACCGCGGACCGGCTTCCTTTCACTTCGACTTTTTACTCTTTCGCTGTTTCTTCAGTCGCTTCGAGAGTAATCCGACCACGTCGATCGATTCCAGATACCCTTCCGTCGACACTCGAGCAAACAAAGTCTTCCAACTACAGTCACGATCAAATCATCCATCATGGCTGACCAACTCAACATGTCTGGCCTGAACATTCAGGACCAGCAGAACCAACCCCGCTCGTACATCCCGCCTCACATGCGTAAGATGGGTGGTGCGGCTCCTCCGGCGATGAACGGTGGCGGTGGTGGTATCAACAACAGCGCTTGGGCTGCTGGGTGAGTCCTTCCTTCTCTCTCCTCGCGATAAGGGCATATTTGGTCCGCTCGCCTTGATGGTTGGCGACGGTAGCTAACATTTTACAATAGCAACCAGCAGAACTTCAACGCTGCTCAGCCCGGCGGCGACTGGCCTGCCATGGGCGGCCCTGGCGGTCCCGGCGGTCCCCCTGCTGCTGCCCCTGCTCCTCAGCAAAACTTTCACCCCCGCGGTGGTCGTGGTGGCTGGCAAGGCGAGGGCGGTGGCCGCGGCGGTTACAGCGGTGGCGGCTACGGTGGTCACGCCGGCGGCGGCGGCGGCCAGGCTCGCGGTTCTGGCGATGGTCAGTGGCGCGACGGCAAGCACATTCCCGGCCCCGTCAACCCCCGTGTTGAGCGTGAGCTCTTCGGTACCCCCGACGACCCGTCCAAGCAGCACACCGGTATCAACTTCGAGAAGTACGACGACATCCCCGTCGAGGCCTCTGGACATGACGTTCCCGAGCCCGTCCTGACCTTCTCGAACCCTCCCCTCGACAACCACCTCATCAGCAACATCGAGATGGCCCGCTACAAGGTCCCCACCCCCGTTCAGAAGTACTCGATCCCCATCGTCATGGGTGGTCGCGATCTCATGGCTTGTGCCCAGACTGGTTCCGGAAAGACTGGTGGTTTCCTCTTCCCCATTCTGTCCCAGGCATTCATCAACGGTCCTTCTGCCGTTCCTCCCAACGCTGCGGGTGGCTTCGGTCGCCAGCGCAAGGCTTACCCCACCTCCCTGATTCTGGCTCCCACCCGTGAGCTGGTCTCCCAGATCTACGAAGAGTCTCGCAAGTTTGCGTACCGTTCCTGGGTCCGCCCCTGCGTCGTCTACGGTGGTGCCGACATTGGTTCCCAGCTTCGCCAGATCGAGCGCGGCTGCGACTTGCTCGTTGCTACTCCGGGACGTCTTGTCGATCTCATAGAGCGTGGTCGCATCTCCCTGCAGAACATTAAGTACCTCGTGCTCGACGAGGCTGACCGCATGCTTGACATGGGTTTCGAGCCCCAGATTCGCCGCATTGTCGAGGGCGAGGACATGCCCAACGTCCAGAACCGCCAGACTCTCATGTTCTCGGCCACTTTCCCCCGCGACATCCAGATGCTCGCCCGCGACTTCTTGAAGGACTACGTCTTCTTGTCCGTCGGTCGTGTCGGTTCCACCTCTGAGAACATTACTCAGAAGGTCGAGTACGTCGAGGATGTTGACAAGCGCTCTGTGCTCTTGGACATTCTCCACACCCACGGTGCTGGTCTCACTCTCATCTTCGTCGAGACCAAGCGTATGGCCGACTCTCTTTCAGACTTCCTGATCAACCAGAGCTTCCCCGCCACCTCCATTCACGGTGACCGCACCCAGCGTGAGCGTGAGCGCGCTCTCGAGTTCTTCCGCAACGGTCGTTGCCCCATTCTGGTCGCTACTGCTGTCGCTGCTCGTGGTCTCGATATCCCCAACGTCACCCACGTTGTCAACTACGACTTGCCCACCGACATTGACGACTACGTTCACCGTATCGGTCGTACTGGTCGTGCCGGAAACACTGGTCACTCCACTGCCTTCTTCAACCGTGGCAACCGTGGTGTCGTCCGCGAGCTTCTCGAGCTTCTTAAGGAGGCTAACCAGGAGGTTCCCAGCTTCCTCGAGACCATTGCTCGTGAGTCTTCCTACGGTGGTGGCCGTGGCGGTCGTCCTCGCGGCGGTGGCCGTGGACAGGGTGCCAACCGCGATTTCCGCAAGTACGGCGGTGGCGGTGCCGGCGGCGGCGGCTTCGGCGGTGCTCCTGGCGGTGGCTTCAGCGGCGGTGGTGGTGGTGCCTACGGAGGTGGTGGCGGCGGCTTCGGCGGCCCCCCTGGTGGCGGCTACGGCGGCGGTGCTGGCGGTGGCGGCGGTTACGGTGGTGGTGGTGGTGGCTACGGCGGTGGTGGCTACGGCAACCCCGGTGGCCCTGGCGGAAACTCGTCTTGGTGGTAAACATCTTCCCATCACGACATCTGGCGACTGCGAAACAGACGGGAGTCTAGCGGTACGCAGCCAGGCAGCTTTTGCAACTAGCTGCGAGTTTTCGAGTTTCTTTTTTCCTTTGGGTTTGCGCGCATGGGTCAACATGGTACGCATTCATCGTCACGCTTTTTTCTGCATTTCGACTTCTTTTTTTCGACACGGCGACATGACCCCGAGAGCCAACGGTTGTGCCTCTCAAACTCCAACGAGAAGCATCATCGGGTGTTCGGACAGGCATCGGCATCGATAGAGAGCATTTCTTTGATTTTGCTGGACCGAAACTCCATGATACCCTTAGATCGACATTGGGAAAAGCTTTGAGAATCGGCAGAGCTGCATGACAACACATGCGATGTGCTGCAGCGTGGCCGGATCTACGGATACACGACACGGATCCTGGATCTGCCTACGCATTACGACGATCATGTTTCTGCTTTTCTACCAGCGTTTTCCCCCGAAGGGCATATTCGACGCTTTTCGATGATAGAAGGGTCATGCATCTCGCCGTGCATACAATAGACAAAAGTGGATTTTCTCGGTCGTCTGGTCATCATCGACGCTGCAGGTCTGCCCCCGGGGCAAACAGGGCAGGGCAGCGATATTGAGGACAAGGCGGCGGAAATAGACTGGACTGGTAATGGAAGGTTCGGATGGACGGTCGACAGAACGGATAATCACAAGACGTTTTGAGAGCGGGAACCAGTGGCCCTCCCAGGCACAGATTAGGGATTCACAGGGAGGGGATACAAAAGTTCTTGCTCTTAATCGATAATGGCCACAACATGGACATGGTCTTCAAGCTCCTGCAATGGAAAAGGAATTGCGGGGGGCTGGAGGCATCAGAGACTTCGGTCTTGGGTTTGGGGCGAGGCGGCCGTGCAAGGCCATCCCCTGGTAGACAGCCAGTCTGGACTGAGAAGTCCCAATAAAAACAGATTCTGATAAAAACATGTGGAAACGGCGCATGCTTGAAGTGATTCTTGGTGCTTGTAGTCAAGGATGGTGGGAGCCCCCTTACTGATGATCTACCGTGAAGCCAAACAACTCGCAGCATACCATCCTCGCGAGAGCACAGTTGCTTTTGCCTCAGATTTGCCAATACCAAAGACTCTAATCGATTGTCTAGCTAACTGCATTCTCTCCCAGACTGTGTCACGTCCAGTTCGCCGGGTCAGCGAGACCATCACAATGATGAGGCTCAAAGTATGATATCCACTGCAAACGGTAGAATGAGGTCTCAAAAGAGGGAGCTTGACACAGGTTCATACCCTTACAGCATCAACTACGGCAGAATTTCTCTATGAAAATATTATTCGCTGTTTGTCGATCAACATCCAGCTATTTAGAGTGTCATGTGAGTTGTGGCCTGTGACGAACAGTTAGTGGAGTTGTATCCGGAGAAACCTGGCCTCGACGTCAGGCTGTGGCCCCAAAGGTAGGTACGTACAGACCACAGGCAGGGGCCGCGGGCGTGCCTGGAATTTTAGTGGTTGGGGTCAGCCTGACGCGCTCCCCCAAATCGTGAGCTCTGAAGTGGGCTCCGTGCCTCGCTTTCCAGTGATAGTTGGCGGGATCTCAGCATCAGCAGCTGGTCTGGGCGGTGGACAAAGTCCAATCCAATTCAGCCCGTTACATGGTACTTACGCCCATCCATCAATCAATTCCTCCCACTTCACCTAATTTTACAACCCATCACTTTTCCAACTACCACCCATCCCTTAATCCAGACAGCTACCAGTTAGACAATCGCGATAGTCGCGGCGGCCGCACCCTGTTCCGCATTCGTGTTACGAGCTCGACGACACTGCATCCATGATCGCAAGCCATCCGAGTCTTCCTTAAATCAATCGATAGTGCCGATTGACCAACGTTGCGCCTTCCTTCCACGTCGCCCGCTTCTCCCGATTCTACTGCGGGCGGCACAATGTCAGACGCAGAGGCACCTACGTCTCCGGCGCGCGGCGATGAGGGCAAATCTTTCCTCTCGCAAGCGATGACCGAAGATGACGATACCCGCATGATGGACGGAACCCCCGAGCCGGGCGAGAAGACCACGGGCCGTGGCAAGGGCAAGAACGCAGCAAAGGAATCGGCCGGAGCGATCACGGGAAAGATTCGGCACCTGAAGAAAGAAGATGGCGAGCCGCTATGGCGCAAAGACATTCAATACGATTTTCTGAAAGCCATCTTCGATGACGAGACAACAGTCTTCACCAACTCGTACGAGCCCGAGAAGCCTCGCCAGAACTTTGCCGATCTCTACATCGACACAATGTCTCGTAGCAGCAAAACCAGCAAGGTCCTTCGCGACAAACTCCTTACCGATCGAGCTGCAGCGAAAGGCATGGCCATGGTCTGTCTGCTGGTCAACATTGGCAGAATGAACACGACGCTCAATTGTCAGTCCATCTTCACTATCGGCGTCTCTAGATATATGCTAACATGCATGCAGTCTTCCCCGAGATGCGAGCCCAGCTGCGAACCTACCATGCCATTCCCTCTCTCCAGGCGCACCAAGACGCGCATGCATACAAGCAACTCCAGGATGCTCCGAGATTGAAATCTATCCTAAAGGGTGGTGCTGAGGACCGCGAAGAGCCTTCGAGCCTTAATAAGATCAAGGCTCAGGAAGTTCCCCGGACAAACCCTGTCAACCTCTTGTTCGTCATCTGCCAGTCGGCTTCCAAGATCGCCGAGTTGCACTTCCCGCCCGGACGAGAATTCCACGATCTAGTCATGAAGACCAATTTCTCCAGCAAGTCACGCGCCAGGGCATTCCTCTGGATCATGTGGTTTTACCTAGAGTCTGACTTTACGGAGGAGGGCTGCGACGAGAACCCATTTGGCCCCGGTGTGGACTATGGTGTCGATGTGGCCAACCAGGGCGTACCCGAATTAGAAGATATGACCCCTGAAGAAGAGGCTCTCGAGAACGTTGACGAAGAGGTGGAAATCAAGTTTGGCGAGGAGAAGCAGAAGATGCGTGCAAAGATTCTGGAAGCGGACCAGGCCTACCTCGCCGACAGCCAGACGAAGCGAGGTTCAAGGACTTCTCGTGTAATGGCTGAGGATGGGCCTGCCATCTTGCCCCGTATCCGCCCTTCGAAACACGAGTCTGATATGGATAGCACCCGTTCGACACCACCGCCGAAAGCACTAGGACGAGGTCTTGGGGGTTCGGTCCGACGTGGCGGAGCACCTCTAAAGTACCAAATCTTCGAAGCCTCATCGCCAGCCGGTCCAGCCCACGGTTCAGCGGAGGGTATTGTTGCAAGAAAGCCCCGACCGCCCACGGCGCATCAAATTGCGGTGGAGAGGAACCGGAATCAGAGAGTCGAATATATACTCGACCGTGGCATAAGGAGACAACACCACAAGGCCAGGAAGTTTAGACGACAGGATGGCGCGGTATACCGAGCCTACAAGCGTATCCAGCAAATGCCGAATCCGTTTGACGACAGCGAGGGCGAAGATGGCCCACAGCGACAGTTGGCTTCTTCCGGCGATAAGACCGTCGGCGCCTTCCGTCAAAAGGGTTTTGGTGGGCTCGTGCTCTTAACTACAGAGAACGACGACTTTGGCGAAGAGGCAAGCGCCTATGCTGCAGCGTTTAGACGCACATCACGACGGCTGGCTCGTTGGTCTGCTCACCAAGGGGAACCCCTTGGCGTTATTCCTCCTAGGAAGCGGAAGAAGGCCGATGGCGAGACGAACGGCCACGGTGAAGCTGGCGACATGACCATGGATCTAGACACACAGAGGGCTTCGGAAGCTGCAGATGGATCACAATCCCGGATGAATGGCGATGTTGACGGTGACGAGACTCTCGGCGACATCACGATGGGAGACATGACCATGGACGATGTCGACGATGCGGACAAGACTGCTGCGCCCGACGACGACGAAGAGCTTGACGATATGGATAGGTCCCTTCTCGGCCTTGCGGCTGATGATGCAGAGGACTCCGCCTCCGACGACGAGTAGAAACCGTCCCGAAAGACGGCCCCGTCACCCCGCTGGAATGGCCAGCGCCGTAGTGGACGCCGGCCCACAGGTGCATGAACCTCTGTAGCCGCCGTCGTCGTCGGGCGATGGCCGCAAGACGGGGGGCTGTATTGATCTTCTTTCATTTTTAGTTGGTCGTTTCTTAGACTTGTGGGCGTAGGAGTTGTATACTAGCTGGAACGATGGAACAAATACACCAAAAATTGGGCGCGATGGCAATGGGAAGGAGGGGCGGTGGAAAACATTTCAAGACGCTCGAGTAGGAGGCTTCTTATAGGGCGCGTCTTGGGTGGTTTCCCTGTGGCTTTTTTGTACGGGCTTTCTTTATTTTGTCTTGCTAGTCTCCTTTTTCCCTCAGCTTCATTCCCGTCGTGCCGCAATATGGCGCGCAAGTAAGTTACAAATAGACGTCATAAATTATTCTTGATGACTCCATGCTGCCTGTGTGCTGTAGTTGGGATGGCATTTTTGAAGGCGAGAAGTCGAGGTAAACGCCGTTTAGTATATGTGTCAGCGGGGTAGTAATTGACTAGCCTTGAACATATTTCCAAGAGGAACACGTGAAGTTGTTCGACGAGTTTAGGGACTCCGACTTGTTCGAGTTTCGAAGGCGTGCTTTGGGGTTGACGACACCACTGTGACGGAGGGGAGTGTAGCAGCAGACTGCGGTTAGATGTCATATTACTTACGCGTCCAAACAGGATACTCTTTGGCGACTTTTTTCACGTCGGGTCATAAAGTACACTCGCGCGGAATCAAGATGTATCTACCAAGCCATAGAGACCCTTTTTCACATCTTTACAGTCCGCACCTCGTTCCTAGATGTTTGTTTCACCGAAGGGAGGGTGATGGTCTCTGATTTATCAAATCGAAGGCCACGGACGTTTTGAAACCAGGGGACCTTTCCAGATAATAAATGTAGACAAATGGATACGTCCTCGTAAAAGAGCCATGATTAGGTATTGCTTGACTTTCATTGTCCGGGGAAGGAACTTGATGTCGCAACTCTGCAGCGTGCTTGCGTGATTACTTCCCCAGACGAGAGGCTCAAAATTAAGATTCTCATCCCCGCCGAAAAGCAACTACATTCGATACTCTTCTTATAAATACCGCCGGTTATGAGGTGTACTACTGCAGAAGAGAGGATTCATTGTTGGGTTCCTTGACTGAATTGATAGCAAGGGGGAAATAGTTATACCCTTCTGTATACCCAATTCAAATTGTACATGGCAACGCGTGCTCTTCTGGACAGAGAAAAGGTATTGATGACTCTGATGGCCTTCGAGGGTGCATATGGCGCAGCGGTAGAGAGGAAAATATCAACTAATTCTACCAGGCACTTCGTCTTATTTCATTCCGGTATTGCATTTCAGTTGATGATTAATTGCGTCAAGTCGTCTCATCACATCTCGTTGCCCCAGGTGTATCGCTCTACGCCTGACTGGAGAACTCAACGGCTATCTTGGACTAATACCTCTAGACCCTCCTTCCTGAGCCCGATGTCCCATACTGCAGACGACCTCTAGTCCTGCTTCGGTTTGTGGAGCAGACCTACGCGAGCACCTGAATTCGCTCTCAGCAGTCGACCGAGCACTAGGCCTCATTCTGTGAGGCCGTTGGCAGTCTACAGAGACAAGGCAGCTCTCCAATCTTGCAGCGTAGAGTGCAAGTAGGAGTCTGGTAGGTAGATATGCCTGCCACACCGCAACTCCTGGTCCCACCACCGATCCAACGATTGACAGAGCCACTGGGTGCGCCGGAAGAGAAGGAGACTAAGCATGAGACCTTTGACCCAGATCGACCGATGGATCAATATGTCCGAATGGCTGGTTACCTGCCGGTAGGTAGTCCTTGAGCTACGTGGACAATACGCTTGTGCCGGGTTGACTGCCTAGCAGCCGCACCTGAACGGGTGGGTGGGTGGTTGAGGCGGATGTTCATGTATCTGCTAACCTACCTGCGCGCGCTTGCTTATAAATACAACTGGGTTCACGCGAGGTGCAACTCTGCAACCATCAACGCGCGCGGGATCGTTACGAGAGAAAACTCCGCGACTATGTGTCAGATCGGGGCAAAGCAGCTGCGGAGTCACAGCTTGAGAAGTAAGAAAGACATTCATTACGCCGCGCAGTCGATGCAAGCTAAGCACCTCGGCCGAATGGGTTCAAGATCAAGACTTTGGTGGCTTTGCCAAAGCCAGGAGTACTGATATGACAATGTCACTTTCCAGAACTCATCTCGATTCATTGAGGTTTTCGTGCCTGTATGCAGTCGTGTGACATGGCCACGCTGCAAAAGGCCTGCATTCGTCCAAAGACCACGGGTAGATAGGAACGCACTTCAGGACCGAGAACGAGTGGTCTGTCCACCTGGCAGTCTTGAGCATCTTTTTACTTGTTTAGGCTGGTCAGTCTTGGAAGTTCGGTTGGCTGGCAGCGGGGCCGGCTCCGAGGGGGTGGAGCCGATGGTGACGGACAGCCGAATCCTCCCCGCCGCCCTCGGATATCCTTTTGCAAACTGCCCAAACTCTCTCTCATCTGCGATTCCGTGAGATTTACATTGCAAGAGATAAGTTGGTCCTGAAACGTCCAGGCTTGAGGTTTGTGTCAAGATAAGTTCACATGGCCTCGTTGTCTCATCAATATTCCAGAAATGTATGACGGTACGGAGTAGAGTGGTAAGGTATCGGAGTTGCTGAAGTCCATACGCAAGTACGTATTACGCGTATTCAGAGCAGGCGGGTGCTGCTTGCCAGGCTGTTGAGAAGCTAGGAAGCCTAAAAAGGACGAGAGTGGCATGGGCCGTTCTGGGGCTTAAGTCCTTGCCGACTAAGTCCGCCTGTACCCAGTTCTCTCGGGACCGGTTCGGCCAACGATCTAGTACCTGCCTAGCTGTTGTGCCAAGATGACGGGGAGAACTGAGTCGTCTATCCGAACGGGTACACACTGAGATGGTGTGGAGTCACGTCCTCTGCTGCTCTTCGTTTTTCTCGTCCAGGTAACGGAAAGTTTTGGACGGACGAGGGGTTAAGGTTCATCGATTGTTGCCAAGAGTAGCTTATTCGCAGGTCTATGATCCATCATGAGAAGGAACACAAGAGAAACCTTACCTCAACTATGATGTGACGACTTCGGATGGCTGTCGAGACTGGATAGTCTTACGCGGCTTGGCAAGACTCGTCTCAATTCTTGGTTGGCGCAGACCACGCGGCCAGTGAAGAGACTGGCTTCGGATGCATCCTGTGCAATTTTTTTTCTTCCTCTCTTGAGTCCCCCGGCGACTACAGGGTCGTTTGATGAATCATGGACCCATCCACTGCAGCGGATGTGTGTGTGCCAACGATCTTTCCACGAGGGTGGTTGGCTCCAGGGATGGGCGCTGGGTGCAGGCGGCCGGCAAGCGTCCACCCTGGTGCTGGTCTTTTTGAGGCCAGCTTGGACCGCTATCAACACCAGGCTTCTTGAAGGGTTCGTCTTTGGTGCCCGGGATACCTGGCATCAGCGGGTCCAACTGCGACGAATTCTCTCTTCGCAGCTATCATTCGAGAAGACAACAAACGTCTTGTGTGGAGAAGACCACAAATTCTCTGGATCATTTTGCAAGTCTATCTGCACTTTCGATTTTCTTGAGTCGTGAGTCGGATGCTCACTGTTGGGACGGAGTTCGCCACTCTTCAAAGACAATACTCAGATGGTGCAGAGTTGAGCGTTCGTCTGATAGACGAGCCCAAAGGTGCTGATTCTCTGCCGGTCTCCGAACAATACGAGGATTTCCGCAATAGGAAGCATGTCGAATATGACAAACCACGCTGAGAAACCAATCGCAGAATGATAAAAGCTGGTTGAACATTGGTCGAAACAGTAGACGGTTTCGAGGCGTAGCTTCGGAATACCACGCGGCTTTGTCAGCTACCTCGCCGGGTTTGGTTTCGACTTGCCGATGTTACGGCAGCGGACAGGACAGATCGAAACGCACACGCGGCGTCTTGAAAGGCTGGAATATGTGAATTAGAGGGCCTAGAATTATGTACCGTTGTGAGGCAGTCTTCAGAGATTCTGGGCGAAGAGAGATTGTGGGTGCATATTCGTAAACGTAAACGTAAAGAAGCAGTGGTTGGCAGAGCTTTTGTTGGTTAAGCTTAAGACTGAGTTGTCAGCACCGAACAGCACCTTGGAGCTAAGGTAGCTCGGGTAGCTCAACTTTCTTGTCTGTTGTCTTGCCGAGCCGTTGCCAGTCCGGCCCTGCCCACTTGCCCAAGAGACAACTGCATCGGCTAAAAAATGGCCGCTTAGAAACCAAAGGTGCCATGCTTGTCTGCATCGAATGAAGATGGGAGTGAAGTCACTCGCGCAGTTGCGCTTGCCGGGACTGGCCACCTTCTTGCCTTGTGCTAGTCATATCGTAGCATCCCTGTCTCCTCCTGCCCCATCCTGTCCCGTTTTGTGCTGTGTGCCGTTGCACTTTCTTTCCCACCGGAACCAAGTCCACCTGGCACGCCGCACCCCAACTTCCCCTTGGGCCTTTGGTGTTTGCCCTCATGTACTGTGTATATCGAGCAGTCGTAATTGAGGTGGGCTTCTGCTAGGTACGCCAGTACTCCCTACATGTTGCAGGGACGAATGTCCTTTGTCCTGGGTGGTACAGAGTACCCATGGTCACAATGGCCCAGCACATCCACCTCCACTATCCGGTTGTTAGAAATCCCCTTCGGGGAGTATAGCAACTTAGAAAATCCCGTCTCCCTGGCCCGGACAATCTAATCCATCTGTGTGTGCTCTGCTGCAGGCTGTCCCGTTTTGTCCACAGCAATCTGTCGGTAGTACTTTATCATTACACGCACTTTTTCGCTCTTTTGGAGGGGACGCGTTGGTGACCATCTCTGATCCATTCTTCCTTTTGCATTCCCCGGTCTCTTTCCCTCTGTTCTCTTCTCCCCTCGCGGAACCAGACGAAGCGCCTTGTGCCAAACCCTTCGGACTTCGTCACCACTTTGAACGGATTTCGACAGCTTTCCTTGACTGTTTGTAAGCGGGTCTAGGGTACGCACATCTAGTCACCCCGTACTAAGCTAGCTTGTACCCAAGTGACGGACATAAACATCTATCCCCGTCAACGCAACGAGTGCATGGCAACTTGGCCCCAGACTCTATATTGCCTCCGTTGCGGTTGAAGTTGTAGCCAGATCCACTGCTACCGCCAAGATTGAGACGACATTTGAGCCCAGCTGCCGGATCTGAAAGTCAATATCGTATTGAGACTCGCTTGAGTCTTTCGCCAGAGAATGGCAGACAAGGACGAGAAAACAAACATCACGGCTCCCGACCCACAAGCCGCTGCTGTTGAGCCCGTCACACCCAGGGAGCCAGAGGATGCCACATTCGCCATCGACATCGACAAGGCGGATGAGAAG